ACCAGATGAGTTTATATATCAGTTAGGCAAGGCTGCATATGTAATGTGTTAATGCGCTAAGTTACGCCAGTCTGATCCAGTTCTTCTGGTACTATTAAGCGTTTGGTGCGGTTTGTGAAGTTGACGATTGTGGTAATGTGGTGGTTGTCGAATATGTCGTTGACCGAGAGGTAATAGTCCCGAAAGTATTGACCTCTTAGTTGGGCAATAGCTGGGCACTGTCCAAGAAAGTGTGAGACAGTCTCCTCTCCGTCTCCGCACATGGGACAAGCACTGGTGCTTGATTTGCGGATGGTGTGGAGGTGTTTGTTTAAGCCACAGTGGCCCGTGATTAGGTGGACTGCGGTTCTATAGTCTTGTCTATTGTTGATGAGTGACGTGTTTATATTTTTGATTATTTTGGTGTGCTTTTGGCCAAGTGTTAGTTTGGTGTGTCTAGGACCATCCGTTAACCAGATATCCTGATTCAGTCTGTGGACTTTGTTGTCGATTTGTCGTTTGATGTAAGATTGAGGGATTGGACATTTCAAAACGTGTTCGCTGGTCGTGCCAAGCTTGGCCAGCTCATCCGCTTTTTCATTTCCCCACAACCCAATATGGGCTGCGATCCATCGGATCTCTAGAGTGTTGTTCGATCCGAGTGCGTTAAGGGTGTCATAACAGTCTCTAGTAGTTCTGCTCCTCGTTGAGAGCGAGGAAATAGCTTGTATGGAGGAGAGACTATCAGACCATATAATGATGTGTGAATTGGTGTAGGATGAGAGATACTTGCAGGCTTCAATGATTGCAGTGAGCTCTGTCTGGTAGACAGTGCAATAATCAGGGAGCTTGAATGATCTCTCTTCCAGGGTGGTGTTGTTGTTGTCAGTCGTGATGATGTACCCAGCCCCACTTCCGGAGTCTGATAGAGACCCGTCTGTGTAGCAGGTGATCGTTTCACTGGTAATGTTGTCGATGGTGTGTTGGAGTGCGGTTCTGTATTCAGTGTTGTTAGTTCCAGGAGTGGTGACGGTGAAGTGCCGTCCCAGCATCATGGTTGGTGCTGTGAGGTCTCTTGTGGCTCTAGGTGGTATGTTGAGATCCTCCATGAATTGTTTGTTGATTGTGGTGTGGTTTTTGATAGTTCCCTTCCTGTGGCCGTGGGCGATAGTTTCAAGAGTGAGGCTGCCGTAGGCTTGAAGCCTTGCTGCCCCCTTCGCTGCTTCGCCCCTCAGGAATAGTATGGTGTCTGGGGTGTCAGTAAGGTGATTCAATGCGAGGAAGGGTGTACTTGGCATGGCACCAGACAAACAATAGCTTGTGTAAAACTGATTACAGAGGGGGGGGGGGGGTAAAAATGTTCCGAAAATGGATTACGTAATATGTGAACGACCCCCTAGTAGTATAGCGTCAGAACCTCGGTATTATTTTACATTTGTTTAGCTGACAAGGTTAATTAAAACTGATATACAAAACATTTACACTACAGCGAAGATTGCTATGACCCGGAAAGAAACACAGTACGAGAAATACCTGCGCAATGGATATGAGATATTTAAAACCTACTGTTCAACGGGAGACAAACATCCCATCATGTTACCCAGAGCTCCTCAACAAAAGTATGTAGACCTTTACCCTGATGATCAGCCCGGATGTAGTTTTGAAAATGATAGAAACCAGCAACTCAACTATGAGGCTGAGGTTATTGTATACAGAGCTTTGGAGAAACTGAGTGGTGGAGATTTTATTGTTCTTCATAGTTTTGAATATACTCATTTCCAATATTATCTGGGAGATTTAACCCATGTTAAACGAAAATGTACAGAGTGCAAGAAGAGAGCAACTAACAGAGAAGGCGAGTGCGACTTTGTAGTGATAGCACCAAACTGCTTTGTAATTATTGAAGTGAAGAATATGGGTCATATCGGGAATCAATCAGACCCTGGGTGTAACAAAGATCAACAGTCGCAAGCATTGGCCAAAACGTTCCAGAAATCACTGGACCAGAGGAACAAGATGGTACAATTTGTTAAAAGATTTTGTAAACGGTTAACAGTTCTCCAGTTTACCGTTTACCCCAACTTTCAAAAAGCATTCAAAAAAGAATTTCCGCTTAGCAGGGATAAACTTTCATTAATAATTTTCAAAGAAGATTTGGAAGATTTCAGTGATTGGTGGAAAGACAATGTAAGTGATCTAATGTTGGATGAGCCTTTGCATCCTGAGTTTCGCACCAAACATGAAAATGTCAGGAACTTATTATTAGCTATATGGTGTACAGACAAGACCATTTGTGATAAGTCCAAATGTAGTTTGGGTAAGTGTATAGTAAAAATCAGCGAGCAACTGCGTTCAGGAAGATTTACCTTCAAGAGCAATAACCCTGACGTCATTCCATCACCCACAATTGTCAAGGACTTTTTAGGAATAGACAACTTGACTAAACAACAGTACGATTTGATAAAATCAAATGAGAAGTTCTTGTGGATCAATGGACCCGCTGGAGCTGGTAAAACTGTTGTACTACTAGCTAAGATACTACAACTAGCATTGTCAAGTGAAGACAACAAAATTGTTTTATTCTGTGAAACGTGTTACATTGATGAAGTCATGACATCCCCAGAGCATCTACATATGCCGCTAGAAAAAGCAGGTGTTAAGCACGTTTCTATTTTTAAGAGAGAAATGATTGGTAAACCTGCTGATGAAATCTGGCGTAAAATAAGAGGCTATCTTAATGACAAACAAGTTGTCATAATGATGCTTAAGGATTTTAATACTGAAACTAACTATATCGACGGCATCGATAATACATCGCTAATAATCTTAATACGTTTATTTCAAGGAAAAGGAATTCACGTGTTTTTCGACGATATTCAAGCAGTGTTAAGGTGGGATAAAGTAAAAGGAAAAATGGTCAAAGAGTATGATGTATTTAAAGCAGTGTTAGAACTGTCATGTTCTTGTCATGTTTGGATCTCATGTGACACGTTACAAAATCCGCTTTATTTTGCTGATGAGGAGGAAAGGTTAAAACATGACTCTAGACTAGCCAGACTTCTTAACGACGAATTATCATCTACACAGCTTGTAAGTCTATCAAAAAATTTGAGAAACACCTCCGATTTGTCGAGATCATTGTCAGTCATTCGAGAACATATCATTGAGCCGGAGCCGGGAAACCTTGTTTCAACATTTAGAAACGATTTCGCCATTTTACAAGCCCCCGGGCACTACATACATGGACCAAAAACTATCGTTCATGTTCTGAAAAAGTTTAACGAGGAACTTATATATTCTATTTTTGACAAGGAATTTGAAGAATTATGTTTTGATGATAGGACAGATGGTAATGATGTGGGTATTATTTACAATCGTTGGGGTACTGTCACAGACACTTTAGTTAAAACCATTGTGGATTGGGTATTATCTTCAAAGGATAATATTACACCATACCATGTCCAGTCAACATATTCAAAAGAATGGCCTGCAGTTATAACACTACAACAGTTATATGATTGTGAACCTGGGACAGTTATTGAAGGGTCTGGAAAATTGTCATTCGATTCAGAACATTTATATCTTGCCATATCACGAGCACGAGTTAAGTGCACAGTAATAATGTTTCCTGATAAAGTTACTATACTTGAGGATTATCCTCGTATGTGTAGTCTACTTGATAACCTTAAAGATTCTGTTGAAGTAAGATATCATTAACACTTCAAACTTTAAAATACAATTTATTAACTAAACCAGATTAATTTATTAATTAATGATTCAAATATTTTATGAATAAACAAACGGTACAAATTTGAAAAGTATGAAGCCTGATGTTGTACTGCTGTTTATTCGTTTGTAGTCGGTTCACTTGGTGATAATACAAATAATAGTAAATGTACGTGATTTTATATTTAAGCATCAAATAAAATTTTAGACGATTCTATAAAATTGAATAAAAACACAATAATATATAAAGTTCTGGAATTTTTTTGAGAACCAGTTGTATTCTATAGCAGTGACTTAGTATGCTTATTATATTTATAATTTTGTGTAAAAATTGCATTATTACTTTAATCTCAACTCGGTTTCTTAGAGTTAAGATCCGTTTATCGGAAAAAGAGATTGATATCCTGCAGTTTCCAGTTCAGTTGCCCAAACCCCAGAGTCCATACCGGTCGGTTCCACATAAATCGAGTTAAATTGTAAATAGTAATTAAATAACTCACTATAACATGAGTACTAAACTAACTAAATCATTACATAATTAAGCTGTAATAATGGTAGTCTCTCCGTAAAATGAAACCTGACACTGCAGCATGTGTTAGTGAATGTTAGAGACCATATCAACTTACATTAATATAAATGCTCGTGTTCTTCCTTTGGTTGTGCTTTGTTCGTTTTAAATTCTCTCCACCTACTGATCCTAACCACCCTAACAACTCTCTAGCTCTCTCTCTTCAACCCTCATTCCCTCACTCCTCTTGGTGCACAAACCATTCAAACCTATGTATGGTCCCCTTACGGGTTCCACAAGCCCAACGGTACATAGTTAGACGAAAAACAGAGAAGCCTTGATTGCCAGATCAAGGACTGCATCAGTAGCAGCGAAATACGGATATACCTTCTCCCTTACAGTCAGCGAGCTGACAACTATCTGACTGTGTCTTTTAGGCCTTGCCACACCACCTTCGCTATTGCATCCGCTCGCCCGTATTCACTGACACATGCCACACCTGGGTTTAGTATGAAGATGTACGCATATTCACCCAAGATGCGGAGATGCCTCAGTTTAGCGAGTTGAGATACAACAGCAAACTCACAGGAGCATGGATCAGAATCATCAGTTACCAACCTGACACCGTTTCGAGGCTTTAATCGCAATACGGTTTCCTGTCAGGCGCCCCAGCAGTCCACCCTTGAACCACCATCTGATCCGAGAGTCACTTGAGGAGACCCGTTAGAGCTCGCAATTGGCGACGAGATAACGTTTATGGTACCTCTATCTATGTTATAGTGAACTCTCAAGCTCCAACCTTCCGGAACTCCCACTCTTTCCTCCCCGACAACAAGTAGATCCATCTGGAACAGTGGGCTGCCTCTTTCCTACTGTCCCGTACCAGCTTCTTCAGCTCTCTTCCCCTAAAACCAATCCTCCTCGCAGCTCTCTCCAAACTCTGCGCCACCACTCCCCTAGCTCCAACTTCGACTGCGGCATTATAACAGCACCAACCTTTCGCCTGAATCTCAGCCTGCAGACCGCTGTATCGGTAGAGTTTGTACTCGTGCGATTCAGCGATCCGCTCTTCAGATGGTACTGTTAGCTCCCACCAAATAACTGTCTTTGCCGACCTTGAGAATATCACAAGGTCCGGCCTCAGCCGTGTTTACACAATTTCACTGGGAAACTTAAGCTGCCCCTCAAGGTATGACAGCAATCCCGATACCCACTCAGGATTCCAAAACCACAACTCTCCTTCCGGTCGTCTGTACCTGCTTTCCTCCTCCCAGCAGGAACAAAATCAATGAACTGTCTTCCATCGCCGGCCTTGTTCACTCGGCGATCACAATGGAAGACAACCTGTTCAGAGATCTGCTTCAGAACCTTGTCGTGCCGCCATCTATACATTCCTTGACTAAGGGCCACCTTACACCCAGCCAAAATGTGCTGAATGTTGCCCATCCTCTCCTCACATAGCTTGCACTTCCCATCCTCATCTTCACTCCACTTGGAAACCATAGAGGGGGTTAAGAGGGTGCCGTACACAGCACTTAGCATGAACCCAATAAGTGAGTCACCATACTTAAAAAGTGTTTGCCAGCTCAAATCCGTCTTCACTTCTTCACTACGAGCTCTCTCCACTCATCCCACCTGCTCTGCATCTCCAGAGAACCTACTTGCACCTCCCTCTCTCTTTCAATGTTCTCCTTCACTCTCAGCATAACCTCCCTCTCTCTTTCCCGCTCATCCATCCTCTCCCAAGGTTTTTTCCAGTCACCAAAACCGATGCCAACTCTTTTTTGCGGTTGCAACATCCCTCGTACCGATTCACAGACCAAATCTCTTCTGGCCTCTTTCAGTTCTGTCTCAGGCATCCAAACTCTACCAGAACGAACTTGGGGCTGGACTGCTTTAATCAGGTCATCCTTAGATGTCTGATAAGATTGCAACAGTCGACACTTCTCTATCTTCCATGTATCTGTCAAGCTGCTCACCGGTAAGGCCACACTGGATGATTGACTGAACAGACAAAGACCACTCAGAGTGTGCCCCACCCCTAGCCACTTTCTGAGGAAACTATTGGTATTCTGTTCCCATCTGGTGACTGTTGTGATCGGAATATCATAGATGGCAAGAGGCCACTTCATTTTTGGAAGGACCATGTACTGATATCCCCAGCACTTCTGGAGTCCAGTAAAGATATAATGGCACACAAATTTTTGGGAACTAAGGTATATAATATGAACAATGCTTGCAGTTGTTTGTCATACGTTGTATGACCCGCCGCGCACGAAGTGCGCGGCTCCCCCTGTATCGTGAAACGACCGTGGGGGTCGCAACGTGATACAAGCAGTTGTGTAATACTGTAAAAGAAATATTTCAGATGAAAAATTATGAGGGAGATGTTTCTTGCTTTCGATTTACGAATTGATGATATTTAGATCGGTGAGAAAGTTCGAGGAAAAGCCTATAAATGGTCTATTTAGTGGTCATTGAGCCACTTTATTACTATTGTTTGTTTTGTTAGATGCGAGGTTAAAGAAAATATTAAAATGTATAAAATTGCAAGACAAAGCTTCAAATCAATTGGATTGTATCAAATATTATATATGTTCAGACAGCAATTTAGAATTAAAGATTTAATTTAATAATCTATTTTCATGATCGTAACACTGTTGTCTTGACAAATGTAACGAATAAATGCATTGTACGATTATTTCTAATTTCAACAAATGATATTTGTTTTCTCGCTTCTGAATAAACTGAAAGCGTACCCAATGGAAAGGGGTTAATCATCTAAATCGTAAGGTCACAATTAAGTAGAAACTAAAAATAAGTTTATAAAGCAAATCATCTTCATTAAAATATAAACTAAATCCTTTCAAACCGTTTTAACGTCCTCAAAACAACCCTTACACCTACGAACAAACTTGGCATTTTACATAAAGCTCCGACCGTATTCAAATTACATACACACAACACAATCAAAGTTTCACGAAATACTAGCTGCCACAAAATTCAAGATGGAAATGTAACAATCTCTTCCTGCAAGTTTGTGTGTTCACAATATTTTAGCAGCAAAATAGCTTTAATGACATGTGAGACACTGAGTTGCACATTGCAAAAGTGCATGAATAGACCAATCCTGTCAAAGGTGATTAAACTGCAATCTGCATAGTGCATATATATATACGTTATATCGGGTTTTAATAAGGTCATCAATTAAGCTACATACAAAACAGCATATCGTGTACTCAAGGTGTTACGTAAAGTGTTACAGAGGTGTTACAGAGGTGTTACAGAGACCTTCTCATTTCACATACCAGGTGAGTTGCATCGTTCGAGAAAGACGATCAACAACTCGATAAAACAATACACATACAGTAACATAAAAATCAACGAATGTGCAGATTCTGCTAAAAATATTAAAGAAATTCTGAACTACAAATTAAGGTTCTTGCGTGGCAGTTCAATAATTGAGTCGATCATCATCTTCTTCATCTCCCCGTGAGTGCCTCATCCAGGCTTGTTTATTTACAATATTTTCCATGATAGCTGAATAAATAACACAGCTCGTCATCCAATTAGTCTTGCTTTATGTCACAGAAAGAAACAAGGACGGGGTTACAATTTACATGTGCCCTGTCGCCCTCATCTCGATTGAGTTGACGTTTTTGTAAGTAACCGGGTAACTCATCCGTTCACCTGAGGGAAATAGTGTATGTCAGCTTCTCATCACTTGTCCTATCATGTAAATGCCATTAATTGTAGCAGCCTCACAGTTCATGCACGCGAGCGGTTTTGGTCAGGCAGGCTTCATGCAAAAGATGAGGCATATTGACTGTGTTAGTCAGCGCGTACAGAACAATGGATCTAGCAGATCTGAACATTAGCAGTGTTTCAGCGGAGGTTACTGTGATCTATAAAAGGAGAGGATTAATTAGAGTACATTCCTATATTCAACTCGAGGGTTTTGTAACTTTACATACTGCACAGTCTATTTGGCGGATATTACATAGGGCTGCAACGTTCAATTTCACTGAGAGAATTTATCAGAGGGATACGAAACTTTCGTCGCTCCCCTCCGACATCAGCTAATATTTGGGACAGGCATGACACCAGGGCTTTCACGTCATCATATATTACACCTCACATCCAAAGATTTACCAGTTTAACCGAAACGTACCATGTCACTGCATATAACGGCCTCTATTCAGTTGGAAGTAATCTCCACCAACCACTGGGAAGTTGGGCAATGCATCTCTCAGATTACACTACACAAATTTGAGGATTCAACTTTAGTGCTTCACAATTTTGAAATGTTCATAACATCATATTTAAAGGTATAGGAGCACAGTATTAATCTTGTAGATTTCTTACCTCCTCTAGGGTAGGGCGGAGGTTTGACAGTCTTACTGCAGACTGCAATAAATGCGGACATAAAGCATATCATCCCAATTGCCAACATCACGCAGTAGTACCTGAACATATTACCGTGTTACGAGAGCTAACATCACTCAATAGTACCTTGCAACACACTGCGTCCCTTTTTGGGTAAAACGGACACACAACGTATTATATGATGAATAGTACCAGTGTTACGAGCTGAAGACATCATCATGGGTACTGAGTGGGCGAACGAAGATCGCCGCGATAATGTTGATTGTCGGGTGCAGGTGGTTACTTTAACTTACGTATTTTCAAGCTATTTCAAATAAAACATGATAATTTTTAAACTTTTTAAGCAGACAAAGAACGCGCCTTCTTTGTTGTTAAACCCTCGCAGATCAGACGATCGAGCAAACTTATATATTAATTTGACGCGCAAAAATTAATTTAATCGGACCCGTGAATATAATCGAATCGTTCGAATCGTCGCGTCGCGTCGTCGCGTCTTCAACATACTACAGTAGACGCGAAAAGGAGTGCAGTTTAATAACGACAAATTTGTCCGCGCGTTACAAAAAATACACAATTTTCACGCGATCTTTGTCTTTTGTCATTTGGCACTACAACAACAGAGGCTCCATTTGCTTGCACGATTTGAACATAACGTTACGTTACCTTTCTATTCATATCCGCAATGGAATCGTTCCGAAAAATTTATTTCTATCAAAATAAATTCTCCAATAAACCGTGAACAATAAGGGAAAGTAGGCTGAAGGATGTCAAATACTTATCATACCAATATTCCTGAGCTAGATTCTGAGCAGCATCAAACAGAACTCCATTGAAGACGTAGTTTCCCAGGCTCGCTATAGGTCCGTCCGCGTCCACTATTCTACAAATGTACATGATGTCACAGTAACCCATGTCATCGCCACATACACTCCCTGCAAAAGTCATCGCCGTGTTATCACACAAGTCAGAACTTTATGTTATCAATCATCAAATCAGGTACAGTACACACAGGTACGTTACACAGTACTCTTTATTGACATTTACATGTGCACTACAGGTTCACATGATATAAGGTATTTCCTAATGAAGTTACGTCTAACATGACAAAGGTGAAAGGAATGTTTGTTTCAAGCAATAATTCTGATTGCTTCTATCTATACTAGGTAAATATGATGGTCTAATGAATGGCATTAGAAAATGGTCCTTCTGAGTCTAAATAACAACAAAAACAATCAACCGTTTTCTTTAGGACTACCATAACGCTGTATGACTCAATGTGACAGTGCACAGCTACATCAAAATAGCAAATAGTGTCAGATAGTGTCAGATCATAGTGTCGAAAAAGCCAAATTATCTGTTCGATAAAAACCTGGAAGAAGTTTGCTGTTATCATCGTTAAGGTCATTTTTAAGGTCAGGGAAGTAAGTTTCGTTAGATGCGACTAAACACTGAGTTTCACCGTCAACTACCTTAGGACAGCACAGCTTGCACTTGTTTTCCTCCTCAGAACACTGCAATGAGATAATAAGGTTTTACGAGGAATTCGGATGACTTAATAAGGATAGGTTATAAAATTATGAATTGCGTAGTAAGAATGAATCAAGGAATAAATTATGGATTCATAAACATAATGTTACTGATTTCCCTATGTAAAATTCCCCCTGGAATTTTCCACTAATTGGAAAATGACACAAAATTCTTTTCAGAGTGGAATAAATTTTACATCGTGCCCCACTAGTAGCCAAATTCGTTAAACAAACCTGACAACTGGGGGTATCAGCATTTGCTCCAGCTATTTTAGAGCATATTGACATTTTACACTCTCCCTCTGAACAAAGTTCAGTTTTCTTGTTACACCAGGGGTTAGGTCCATTATTGTCATCCACCTTCCAGTATATCGGATCATCTGTGAGATCATGATATGATATTATCTCGTGTTATAGTTGTATTTTGAACAAGGGTGATGCTCTGTAGCTTGTCAAATCTACAATAATAATTATAAATTATTCTTGTCATGTACTGTAATTATAGGCAATAGCTAGATAATAACCGAACCAAACTGTAAGTCTGCAGAGTGGTAAATTGTCCTAAATGATTGAGACAGTGTTAATGTGTTATAGCAATATAAATTACCAAAGCAAGGCGTTTCCATGATCCAACAAGTCTGTACTAGCTAAACATGAAAGTAAAGCAGTATATAACTTAGTAAAGTGTAATAAAGTAAAGTAACTTACTGACAGGACACTCGAAAGTGCCAGCTTTACAGAATATTTCCTTCTTGCAATCAGTCCCGTTAGAACACATGATCTGTTTACTGTTAAGTTCATCTGAAGTGTAGGGCATACACGTGTTACCGTTACAACACGGCCCATCCATCGCACTGAGGGGAGAGGAGTGGTTATTTAGTATTTACCTATATATATATACATGTGTAAAGTGCATTGTGTACATTGTGTACAGTACATTGCACGTACAGTTTGTACACTGTACAGTGTATTGCATGTCTACTGACTATACTTGTTACGATCTAACCACACACTAAAACTTCTATCTGACAACTGACAAGTATGTAGGATGTATGTGGTTAACAGTTACTAAGGAAGTATGTTATTCGGTTAAAGTTATTACTTGTCGCCCTGCGCTGGAGCAACTCTCAGTCTTAGTACATATTACATCCGTGTGTGAATGGTATGTTATGTATGTGAATGGTATGTTATGTATGTGGACGGCATGTTTGTAATACCTGCACGTGTAGTCAGGCTTTGTCCACTTGCAGTTGGTCTTGCAGCACTTATCTTTCTCACAATTAACTGAGTCCCCGCAGTCACAATCCTCTCCCTCGTCTTTCTTAAAGTTTCCGCACCCGTCCACGTTGTCTAGTGAGATAATAGTTTCAAACATATGACTTATTCTTAGTCACACTATATTACCCTATATTATCTGTATGAGTCATTGTCCATAGTATCATAATAAGCACGTACAACTTATTGTATGCCTAAGTTTGTCAAATTGAAACTTTGAGTAAATTGCATATGGGCAATTCCACGTAGTGTAATTCACGCTTTGCACAAAATTTAGCTTTTAATTGCATGCTAATTGTAGGCTAACATTAGCAGCATGATAATATAAAGTCAGAATGAAGTTTAAACGTTTGTGATGATGTGGCAACAAAAGTTTAATGTCTATCTCTTATACTTTTTATGTGAGCAGCATTTTAAAAAGTAGACGTTATTCACAGGCATAATTTGGTGTTTTAGAAATCTTGCCTTAAAATTGCAATTCGTGCCCCAGTGTAATAGCAGAAGTTACAATAAGGCTTGATCACAATAAAGTACACATTTTTTCAACTTCCTATGTCCTTCCTAACATAAATTTGTGGAATGTGTGTAGTACAGGGACAATATAGGAAGTAAACGTTATTCACATTTGGACGTAGTGTAACTCACACTCTGCCCAGTTGCTCTGTTTGTGCGTTGTATTGATGTTTGCTTGTTCTTGATTTGGTTGCTGCTATTGTAAAATGGTGAAGTAGACTGACTATTACTGATTTTAAATTAAATTGACTACTAATCGGTCCAATTAGATACTGGTAATGGTGTAGATTACACCCTACTGCCATACCACAGTGGTCGGGGCGCCAATGCGAGGTAGACATAAGATATAGGCATGACTAAGGGGTATGATATACCACAAAACATGTATTCTAGGGGTATCTTGCCCCAAAATAACGTTTAAAAAGGTTTTTAGAGTGATTAAATGGATATTTGACCTCAAATATTAATTTTACCTCATTTTTTGTCAAAAATTGCATTTTTTGGCAATTTTTTGCCATTTTTTAGGACAAACTACAAAAATAAGTTGCAAATTAACTTTGGTAAGCATCTATAAGTTGATCTATCTGTAAGTATAGGACATTTAGAGTAATCCTAGAAAAATGTACAGTGTAATATTGTGGCATGATTTTTTTATGAGCTCTCAAAGGTTCGTGATTAGACAGAAATTGGGCGAAATTTATAACTTTTTGAATCCATTTTTAGACCATTTTATCACTTATATCAATTCTAAACTACTTCTTTGTGTTTTTAATGTGAAGAGGTCATCAAGAGCTTTAATTTGATACCTCTAAACATGGTTTTTGATAAAAATTAGAATTTTTTGGGGCAAAAACACTGCTCTTTTGAGCAAAATTTAGTTACGTGACAAGAAAATAAGGTAATTTTAGCCCCAAATTGCTGATATTTTCTGAAAATAAGCCTTTAAATTACTCAAATAAGTGTTCTTAGACCTAACAATGACTATAAAACACTTTCAAATCAATTTTGATGTCCTAATCCATTTAAAAATCATTATTTTTGCGATTTAAGGTATAAAAGTGGCACATTTTGCCCTGGCGGAACCCTAATTTCGATTAAATTACCAACACTTTCAGGCAGTTGTTGAAAATAGGTCCCTGGAATTGCCCTGGAAGCATTGAAAGTACAATTTATTTCACAACAAAGCATTTAAACCACTTGTTTTATTAATTTTCCACTGTGTAAATTACACTACCAAGCTGTGAATTACGCTACCTGTGAATCACACTACCCCTACTTTTTGCACTTCCAGTGTGACAAATAAAAACGAATGAAATTTTCTGACCTTTATAGATGACTAAAGTTGCTGTTAGAGAGAGAGTTACGAATCAAACAGACTTATAGTGTAGCCACAGTAAAACATTTTTCACTATTTGGTAGCGTTATTCATACGCGAAGAGGAAAAATTTGATCATAAGACACTCAAAAAGTAAAGAAATTTGGCCCTTAAAATTAGGCTGGCCTTCTATCTGAAGCCCACTAGGTTGATATACAGGATAAAATATTGAATTCTACGATTAATAAAGCTCCCTAAAATCTTTCGGAAAATAACTGGATATTCACACTAAAGATACACTAAATTTAAGCCAACTTTGACGCGCTACAGTTTTTAAACTAGGCTAGATATCAACAAACGGTTTTTTGCCCCTGAAAATATGGTCAAATATCTTAAAGATTTTCTATCTCTCCCAAACCTCCTCCAAACTTTATTATTTTGTTACTGGTTACTGTTATCGTGGAATTGCCCATATAATAATGCACTTGCACGCCTTCATATTACATGTAACGGTTATATTACACTAGATCTTTAATAACAATGTCATCATAATGAGAGAAACGATGACGAAGAAAAACAACATTATATTATAACTTATTATCGACGAACATTCAACATTAAGTTATATAATATCACGGAATAAGAACATTTATTATACTACAAAGATAACAATAAGTAAAACAGCTGTCTCACCCTCAAAACAGCTGGCTCTAATAGAAAGTATAGGTCCCATTATCTCAGTACTACAGGGAGACAGTTTCACGTTGTTGGGTTCGTTGCCCGTGTTAGCGTGAGGGTACATCAGGTAGTTGCCTCCTCTGTACCCACTACCAGGTGCACAGGATGTGGGGTCGTGCTGAAATAAAGGGGGGAGGTAAGTAGGGGGGGGTAAACAGAGGGGGAGTTAAACAGAGGGGGGCCGGGGGAGTAAAACAGAGGGGGAGTTAAATAGAAGGGGGAGTTAAACAGAGGGGGAGTTAAACAGAGGAGGGGGAGTTAAACAGAGGGGGAGTTAAACAGAGGGGGGAGTTAAACAGAGGGGGAGTTAAACAGAGGGGGGAGTTAAACAGAGGGGGAGTTAAACAGAGGAGGGGGAGTTAAACAGAGGAGGGGGAGTTAAACAGAGGGGGGGGGGTAAACAGAAGGGGGGGAGTTAAACAGAGGGGGGGTTAAACAGAGGGGGAGTTAAACAGAGGGGGAGTTAAACAGAGGGGGGCCGGGGGAGTTAAACAGAGGGGGGAGTTAAACAGAGGGGGAGGTAAACAGAGGAGGGGGTTAAACAGAGGGGGGAGGTAAGCAGAGCGGGGGGGGGGGGGGGTAAACAGAAGGGGGGGGAGTTAAACAGAGGGGGGGGGGTTAAACAGAGGGGGGTTAAACAGAGGGGGAGTTAAACAGAGGGGGGCCGGGGGAGTTAAACAGAGGGGGAGGGGGGAGTTAAACAGAGGGGGGCTGGGGGAGTAAAACAGAGGGGGAGTTAAACAGAGGGGGGAGTTAAACAGAGGGGGAGGTAAACAGAGGAGGGGGTTAAACAGAGGGGGGAGGTAAGCAGAGCGGGGGGGGGTAAACAGAAGGGGGGGGAGTTAAACAGAGGGGGGGGGGGGGTTAAACAGAGGGGGGTTAAACAGAGGGGGAGTTAAACAGAGGGGGGCCGGGGGAGTTAAACAGAGGGGGAGGGGGGAGTTAAACAGAGGGGGGCTGGTGGAGTAAAACAGAGGGGGAGTTAATTAGAAGGGGGAGTTAAACAGAGGGAGAGTTAAACAGAGGGGGGAGTTAAACAGAGGGGGGCCGGGGGAGTTAAACAGAGGGGGAGGGGGGAGTTAAACAGAGGGGGGCCGGGGGAGTAAAACAGAGGGGGAGTTAAATAGAAGGGGGAGTTAAACAGAGGGGGGAGTTAAACAGAGGGGGAGTTAAACAGAGGGGGGCCGGGGGAGTTAAACAGAGGGGGAGGGGGGAGTTAAACAGAGGGGGGCCGGGGGAGTAAAACAGAGGGGGAGTTAAATAGAAGGGGGAGTTAAACAGAGGGGGAGTTAAACAGAGGGGGGAGGTAAGCAGAGCGGGGGGGGGGGTAAACAGAAGGGGGGGAGTTAAACAGAGGGGGGGGGTTAAACAGAGGGGGGTTAAACAGAGGGGGAGTTAAACAGAGGGGGGCCGGGGGAGTTAAACAGAGGGGGAGGGGGGAGTTAAACAGAGGGGGGCCGGGGGAGTAAAACAGAGGGGGAGTTAAATAGAAGGGGGAGTTAAACAGAGGGGGAGTTAAACAGAGGAGGGGGAGTTAAACAGAGGGAGAGTTAAACAGAGGAGGGGGAGTTAAACAGAGGGGGAGTTAAACAGAGGAGGGGGAGTTAAACAGAGGGGGAGGTAAACAGAGGGGGAATTAAACAGAGGGGGGAGTTAAACAGAGGGGGAGGTAAACAGAGGAGGGGGTTAAACAGAGGGGGGAGGTAAGCAGAGCGGGGGGGGGGGGGTAAACAGAAGGGGGGGGGGAGTTAAACAGAGGGGGGGGGGGTTAAACAGAGGGGGGTTAAACAGAGGGGGAGTTAAACAGAGGGGGGCCGGGGGAGTTAAACAGAGGGGGAGGGGGGAGTTAAACAGAGGGGGGGGGAGTTAAACAGAAGGGGGAGGTAAACAGAAGGGGGGAGGTAAACAGAGGGGGGAGGTAAGTAGAGGGGGAGTTAAACAGAGGAGGGGGAGTTAAACAGAGGGGGAGTTAAACAGAGGGAGGGAGGTAAACAGAGGGGGAGTTAAACAGAGGGGGGAGTTAAACAGAGGGGGAGGTAAACAGAGGAGGGGGTTAAACAGAGGGGGGAGGTAAGCAGAGCGGGGGGGGGGGGGGTAAACAGAAGGGGGGGAGTTAAACAGAGGGGGGGGGTTAAACAGAGGGGGGTTAAACAGAGGGGGAGTTAAACAGAGGGGGGCCGGGGGAGTTAAACAGAGGGGGAGGGGGGAGTTAAACAGAGGGGGGGGGGGAGTTAAACAGAAGGGGGAGGTAAACAGAAGGGGGGGGGGGGGAGTTAAACAGAGGGGGGAGGTAAGTAGAGTTACTCAGCTTAAAGAGGTTCGGTTTGTTGTTCAGGTAGCTCAACTATAAGAACTGAAGCGTTATCTCCGACTAGCAATTTTCTCTCTAATCATGCCGGCAATAACTTATCAGCACTGTACAACTTATCATTGTTACAACTAATCTCAGCCACGTCCGGCTTACTGACGAATCAGTCAGAGAATGTAGAATATTCGAGTAATGCAACCTACTGACACAAGTCACAGTCCTACTAATAGTAAGATTATCATCTGATATAATGTTGAGTCGCGTGACGTAGGGAGAGAATGAGATGGAGCATGATAGTGCAGCACTACTTTACACAACGGACAGCAGCGTTACTTGCTGCTTCATGTGCTGTTCCTGGAGTTACTTATTACGTAACATGTCACTTACGGTGGGTCGTGTACAAAACACCACAACATCAGTTTGAGAGGTGGTGAAACACGAGACGTCAGGTTGAGACACAGTGTTACAAATACCTTGAAATTAAGGAAACAAATTCCAGCTTCCACCTTTCACAGACAATCCTATAAACCTAAATTTCCCGTTTAAATCCAGTAAAGTACACAGCATGACTCACACCCCATCACAGCCCACAACCGGTGTGAGTGTTTTAAACAATACATAATAACATGGGACACACAGGACACTGTGCCCTGTAAAAAACTAGTTACCTTCTCACACACACGTGACACCCTCTCACACACGTGACACCCCCTCACACACTCTACAGTCTCACACACGTGACACCCCCTCACACACACACTCTACAGTCTACACACACGTGACACCCTCTCACACACACGTGACACCCCCTCTCACACACACTCTATTAGCGCTGGTAACACGATCCTCCTGCTCAATACTGTACCCCTTATTTTAACTCACTACTCACTAATCGCACAAACAACGGGGAGCTCACATATTGTGTTTTAAATTTATTTGATTAGAAAAATACAACTTGTGAGTTGTGTCTCGAGGATGCAGCATCAAGTTACGGTCGCAGAGGGAATATAACATGCTTAATAACAAATGTTTAGTCTTCAGCACTCAATCATCCAATAGTCTAATTAGTTAATTAGCAGTTATATTAGATAATTAATTATTCATTTAACATACAGGAGAGCCGAGGTTATGTCCGAGCTCGTGTCCAAAAGTCAGATAACTCTGCAGTGCTGGAACCTCCTTAACATTCCTTGTGGTTACAATACCAGTGTTCAAACACCGCGACTTCATCTGAAACAGTGGAGGTTAGGAACTCTGCAGTGCTGGAACCTCCTTAACATTCCTTGTGGTTACAATACCAGTGTTCAAACACCGCGACTTCATCTGAAACAGTGGAGGTTAGGAACCTCCTTAACATTCCTTGTGGTTACAATACCAGTGTTCAAACACCGCGACTTCATCTGAAACAGTGGAGGTTAGGAACCTCCTTAACATTCCTTGTGGTTACAATACCAGTGTTCAAACACCGCGACTTCATCTGAAACAGTGGAGGTTAGGAACTTTAGTTTTAGTTTTGGTTTTGGTTTTGGTTTTGGGAGCTGACTTGCCAAATAGGTCCAGGATTGAGATCAGAATATACAGGGTGGCTCAGAGTAAATGTTAGAAACTAGTGGTATTAACTAGGTGTCCTGTATTTAAAGTAGTAGTAGTAGTGGAGTTGTTGGAATGTAATTCTGCATTATATCCTAACTTTGTATTAAAATGTATATTGTATAGTAGTAGGGGACTAGAGATCACCATGTGAGGTATGATTGTATTTAAATATCTCCGTACCTCTATAATAATCAGGACATTTCATTTTACCGTTTGAATAGTCTGTACTTCTGGACCTGGCGATCAGGATAATATCGTTTTGCCTACAATACTTTAATAATGACATGAGCAGCTAGGGGAGCTGACAACAAATACCTGGTCAACACATTTCTACCAGGCATCATCTAATTATATTTATTATTCCCATTATTAAGTGTATTAAATCACCAGTTTTCCATTAAAGACAGAGTTCCTCGACAGGAACACTGTAAAATTGGTATGTACATTTAAATACTCTTTTGTTTATACTATTCTGTCAAAACGCGAAGGCATACTTATGATAGGGATGCTTGGCTATTTTTAGATCAGTAGTATTGTAGAATCCTATACACGAGCCCCACGTAATATCTATAAAGTTGAATATACTTGTCCCGAGATGCCATTTTATAACGCAGTCTAGAATGATGATGACCTGGCGTGAGCTATTAAGACAATCAAAGTGCGACATGTAACCGATTAAAATACAACACGCAACTCACACCAACGTAATTCATAACTTTAAACTAATAATCTGGATGTATCAGAGTGTGTAAAGTTTCATTGTTGTTGAGTGTGCAGTGTAAACAAGCACGGATAGTACCGTTCAAATGCATGACATTGTGTAGAACTATCTTGACAGCTTGATAAATAACTGAGAGAAAGTGAGCAGTGGTTACAGCTACATTTAATTAAGGATAAGAAGCAAGAGCAGCGTATCAAGGAGTTAGGAGATTACAAAGAGCAAGAGCAGCGTATCTAGGAGTTAGGAGATTACAAGAAGCAAGAGCAGTGTATCTAGGAGTTAGGAGATTACAAGAAGCAAGAGCAGTGTATCTAGGAGTTAGGAGATTACAAGAAGCAAGAGCAGCGTATCTAGGAGTTAGGAGATTACAAGAAGCAAAAGCAGCGTATCTATGAGTTAGGAGATTACAAGAAGCAAGAGCAGCGTATCTAGGAGTTAGGAGATTACAAGAAGTAAGAGCAGCGTATCTAGGAGTTAGGAGATTACAAGAAGCAAGAGCAGCGTATCTAGGAGTTAGGAGATTACAAGAAGCAAGAGCAGCGTATCTAGGAGTTAGGAGATTACAAGAAGCAAGAGCAGCGTATCTAGGAGTTAGGAGATTACAAGAAGCAAGAGCAGCGTATCTAGGAGTTAGGAGATTACAAGAAGCAAGAGCAGCGTATCTAGGAGTTAGGAGATTACAAGAAGCAAAAGCAGCGTATCTATGAGTTAGGAGATTACAAGAAGCAAGAGCAGCGTATCTAGGAGTTAGGAGATTACAAGAAGTAAGAGCAGCGTATCTAGGAGTTAGGAGATTACAAGAAGCAAGAGCAGCGTATCTAGGAGTTAGGAGATTACAAGAAGCAAGAGCAGCGTATCTAGGAGTTAGGAGATTACAAGAAGCAAGAGCAGCGTATCTAGGAGTTAGGAGATTACAAGAAGCAAGAGCAGCGTATCTAGGAGTTAGGAGATTACAAGAAGCAAGAGCAGCGTATCTAGAGGTTAGGAGATTACAAGAAGCAAGAGCAGCGTATCTAGGAGTTAGGAGATTACAAGAAGCAAGAGCAGCGTATCTAGGAGTTAGGAGATTATAAGAAGCAAGAGCAGCGTATCTAGGAGTTAGGAGATTACAAGAAGCAAGAGCAGCGTATCCAGGAGTTAGGAGATTACAAGAAGCAAGAGCAGCGTAACTAGGAGTTAGGAGATTACAAGAAGCAAGAGCAGCGTAACTAGGAGTTAGGAGATTACAAGAAGCAAGAGCAGCGTATCTAGGAGTTAGGAGATTACAAGAAGCAAGAGCAGCGTATCTAGAGGTTAGGAGATTACAAGAAGCAAGAGCAGCGTATCTAGGAGTTAGGAGATTACAAGAAGCAAGAGCAGCGTATCTAGGAGTTAGGAGATTATAAGAAGCAAGAGCAGCGTATCTAGGAGTTAGGAGATTACAAGAAGCAAGAGCAGCGTATCCAGGAGTTAGGAGATTACAAGAAGCAAGAGCAGCGTAACTAGGAGTTAGGAGATTACAAGAAGCAAGAGCAGCGTAACTAGGAGTTAGGAGATTACAAGAAGCAAGAGCAGCGTATCTAGGAGTTAGGAGATTACAAGAAGCAAGAGCAGCGTATCTAGGAGCTAGGAGATTACAAGAAGCAAGAGCAGCGTATCTAGGAGTTAGGAGATTACAAGAAGCAAGAGCAGCGTAACTAGGAGTTAGGAGATTACAAGAAGTAAGAGCAGCGTAACTAGGAGTTAGGAGATTACAAGAAGCAAGAGCAGCGTAACTAGGAGTTAGGAGATTACAAGAAGCAAGATCAAGAGCAGCGTATCTAGGAGTTAGGAGATTACAAGAAGCAAGAGCAGCGTATCTAGGAGTTAGGAGATTATTTTTACCCTAATTTAACTAAACATACCGAGTCGTAGTTTTTGCAGTCAGTACAGAGTCCACCACTATCTTTACCAGATGAAGCTACCCATGCTAGCCCTGAAAATAGACTTATTATAGGGAACTAATAAAAATTAAATGATATCAATATTATCATCCTACCTAATAAACAAAGTTGACAGTAATAATGTTTCACTACAATCTGATTTCTGAATAGTCATTAGTCAAACTACAAATAAACAAACACACTAATAACCCTACTAACTAAGAGATCAAAAACTCAAAAGTCAAAACCACAACATTAGTACACACACAGTTTCAGTACACACAGTACACACACAGTACACACAGTACACACAGTACACACAGTACACACAGTACACACAGTACACGCAGTACACACAGTACACACAGTACACACAGTACACACAGTACACGCAGTACACACGCAGTACACACAGTACACACAGTACACACAGTACACACAGTACACAGTACACAGTACACACACAGTACACACAGTACACACAGTACAAACACAGAACACACAGTACACACACATTACACACAGTACACACAGTACACACAGTACACACTGCACAGTACACACACAGTACACACAGTACACACACACACACACACTACACACACAGTACACACACAGTACACACACAGTACACACACAGTACACACACAGTATACACAGTATACACAGTACACACAGTACACACAGCACACACAGTGTCAGTACACACACAGTACACACTACACTCACCGAGAACACCATCCTCAAAGTCCCTGTGGGTGAACATGTAAGCGATACAGTAATCATCAGGGTTGAGCTGGTCCTCGTCCTTGGTGGAGAATAGGTCCAGGAACTTGGCTACTGCGTACTCGTGTCTGTCGTACACGTTATCTGAATCCTCGTACACCTGCACAGGTTTACTGTCAGTTTGGGGCCGAGATATTATCATTTGCGAGGTGAGACAAATACTTATTTTCTTTTTCTTTGTGCGTTCCCCGATCGAAATCAACTCATGAAATTTGAACTGTTCGTCAACAATAGTACTCGAGTATTGTTAATCAATCACTCATCATCTTATCTTAAGTTTATTACTCAGCTTTAGCCGGTTGATAGCCGGTCGGCATTGTATCAATTTGGCTAACAATAATAACATAAGCTCGCTTCATGATATTACAATAGCTTGATAATGAGCAGGAATGACAATTTAATCTGTAGTATAATGTGTAGTATAATCTACCGTCGTATCTTGTAATCTGCTAATTAGGCTCTCACGAGATAGTATAAGTGTAGACTGGTCTGTTGACGATTACCGTGACGATTACCGTGTTAATTACCGTGCAACAACGAGGAAACTACTCATACTGCTTCTTTATCCTAATATTTAGAAGTCAGGTATGATATAATAAAAACACGGAGTATGTACTCAAAAGTGTGTTTGATTAGAACGTTAGTTATTTTATCTAAGAATTTACTGGGAAATTCCAAACGAAGCAACAATGAATTTACTAACATGAGCTTTCCGGATGAGGAATTTGACTCGATGGTTGTAGGTTGGAAAGTCTGTTTCGTGGTAAATAGCGTTTACTTGCTCCACGTACGTTCCCAACTTGCTGAATATTGCCGGAGCACTGCAAAGGACGGCATTTAGAGTTTAAAGTAGAGTAAAGATCAGGCAAAATTTCGATATTAAGATCGCAGTCATTGCCACATAAAATGTGATCGTGTACGTGTATTTTGGATTGTAATGTATTTTGGATGTAAAGATGACTTGATGACTTCGCTAGTTGAACAGATTTTAACAACAACATTACTCACAATCCAGCGCTGTGTTGCTGGAAAAACTTGTTATCAGCCGCCATGTAGAGCGAGCAATATCTGGTGCTTTTCTCTGATAAATCTCTTTTCTTCCTGTTGTTATGGTACTTTATCTTCCCATCTGTGTGCTTAAATATGCTGAAACAATATGTATTGAACCACTGGCACTATTGTTAGCTGGGATTATAGGTTTGATTAAGAAGAAATAAGCAATTTATCTAAGTAAAATTCGATATTTTAGCATAATTATCAAGAGCTAGAGCTGTTGTTGGTTATTTGTATACAACACTCAAGAAATTTATCTATCAAGAATGCCAATTTGGCATTCATTCAAGATATATTCTGTTAGCCTGATTTATTCGTAAATTTTGTTGGAGTCGTAATATTCAGATAAGATTACGCTGTTTTACGGCATGGCATTCTCATAATCATGATTAGTTATGATGTAATTACTTAAATCATTAATGTACTTAAGAAGTATTTAAAAAAATTAAAACATTTACCTCTCATGGGGAATATTATAAAAACTGCCGTGTTCATCTTTTACGCCACACTTATTATTCCTGGAAAATTAGTCATTGATTAATCTTGAAACAAAGATGATTTATTACATCGAGATGGCAGGGCCTACTCTCATAGTGTAGATATATGTGAATATATAATCTAATAACTGAAAGATGACTTGGTTTAACAAACGAAAAGCAAAAGTAAGATCTACTAAAAAAAGGCACTGCACTCAGCAAAGAACTGCAGACAATATCTCAATTTCTTTGTAGAGTAAAGCGTGCAGTCATGTTCTAAACTTACTGAGGTGTAATATTAACATCACTGAATCTGTATATAAGAGAGTGTTTGTCAGGGGAGTCGTAATATTTGTGGGAGGGTTCTAAGTGATAAGTTTCATTCTGAAAGTTGATGACGCCCTCAAATACACCATTGTGTATGGAACCGTGTGCTATCGACTCTTCATCATCTGAAATAGTACAGTAAATAATAACACAGATAAATAACAACTGTAAATCAGTTATACAGGTGAGTTGGCTGAGTTTTATCAATGGAATTGAGACAGGAAAAAATTGTTGGATCTTATTACATACACCACTAGACTAAAAATATGGAATAAGCAGGAAGTTTCCTGAAGGAGTATCGGAGGTCCAGAAAAATAGACATCAAAAGCTCAGATTAGGATTTGGTACCAACCATTAACATTTCCCTTAACCAAACTGTAGAAATCGTAGTCTATATCTTTCCCTGAACTACTTGTAAACTGAACGTCGTCCGTAAAAACGTCGTTATTTTTACTTAACTTGAGATTAAATGATCTGAAAAGGTATATCATTACATCACAATGTTGGTTGGCGTATTTATTTATTTAATCTTGCGGTAAACCATTGCAAGCACTTCAGACAAGATAACGATTGAGGTTTATAAGAATGCAATCCAATATCCTAGACATCCTACGTCGTACATGCATCAAGTTAACACAATGAATTGAGCCTGAAACTGAAAAACTTACTTTTCAAAAGCTATAAAAGATAATGATAAAAAGTCTGCTAAGCTTCTCCTGTGTCTGTAGTGTTCGTGTTTTAAAGTGGATTTGCTATAATCAACTAGTTCGTGGTATTCTATACTCTTTGGAACTTCTTTTGCTCCTGAATTGTAAATTACATATCATGTTGTGATAATATCTTTTTGAAGTTTCAATCAAACTTCATGAGTCAATTTAATATCAGCATGCTTGATATAACACAAAGACACCTGCAGTAATATATACATCATAATATAATATGATGATGTCTAGCAAATAGTAAACTGCCAAATCATGGGACAGAAAAGTTATTATAATTTCATTAAGGAAGAGCATGACAAAGAGCATAACAAATATCTCACCTTCACATAAGACTAAGAGTAATAATTCCAGAAACAGGATTACCATGGGACTGTGGTGAAGAAAAATGTAAGTTCACAATAAACAAACTTAGGGTTCCTTGTAAAAAATTTAGAATTTCACAAACTTAGTCGATCAGACCTGAGCCTTGCTATTTACGAAATGCCACATTGGTAATAATCGTGTTTTGATTCATAGCTATAGAAATATCTTTCTGAACATACGTACTGGGAACCCTGTTTAAACAAGTTGATATCGCCCATGAAATAACATGTTGATCTTTAATAAATCAAGCAAGATGGATTCGAAATGACGAAGTTATCAAGCAATTCTAATCTATGATATGGATACGTTACACCAGGTGATACAACACAATAATCTTTAATCAATATATTTTTCAGCACACTCCAATGTGGACTGAGGGTGCCCTTACAAGATTGAGGATATTTTTCCAGAGCCTTTTCTCATTCACTCCTAAAACATGGTTTCCTTATCTATCAGGTGAGTCGATCATGGGGACTTTTTTTGAGATAAAAAAATATTGCATCAACCCGATGTACAGATTGAAGGAAAAAAATCACCTAACATCAAGAAGTGCACAGAAAAATTCGGTCATTTACATAGTTACAGTCCCTATTTTTATCAGAGATACACGCTTTGATCTGTTCGTTCCAAAGCAGGGAGCTATGGGTAAAATCTTTTTCCTGTGCAGTTCTATATTAATATTAACCTTTTAATTTAAAATAGGTTGTTAAAAGTAATTTGGCAATAGAGCCAGGAGCCGCAAGATTGCCTTTAAGTATTACTATTAGATAAGTGTTGGGAGCTCAGAATTAATGGTTGAATTTACTCTTATGTGGCCGGCTTCGACTGAGCGAGTTCATACTTTTGCACCATTTAAACTTTTGCACCGTTTGTACTATTACAATTCAACTGTAATAGTGAAGTCCCTGTCGTAGTCTCGGGTAACAAGTTAGTAGACTAATAATGGCACGAGAAAACTGAGTAAATCTTGACTTTAATTCCTCAAAAGACATATTGCAACAATTATATAAATGTGGCCACAAGCAACCAAACAATAATAAGCTGAAACCTTTAAACATTTACTTCAGTGCTGCACGTCACTGCACAAAGGAGTAGTAACAGTGCCATGGTGATGTGTACTCAGTGGCGTAACGTTGCCTGTTGGCGCCCCCCTGCCGAAAAAAGCGCCCCCCTGTTGGCACCCCCTCCCCTTTTGGTGCCCCTCCCTAAAATTGAACAAATTAGGTGATTTTAGAGAATACGCCGGTAAAATCTATAAAAAAGTGTTTATCTAGAGCAAAACGCGCAGATTTGCTAGTACTTTAGTTAAGTTTTCGAAATTGTCCCACATTCAAACGACGATTTGGCGCCCCCCTAAGACGGCGCCCCCCTGCACAGCGGGGTCAGCAGGGCCCTTCGTTACGCCACTGTGTGTACTAGATAGTTTATCAACTGATTATCTCATAAAAGCAGAAGGATTAAAAATCCGAACGGATAAGTTTCGAGTTCGATAAGATATAGCTCATTGAGACTCCCTGGCCTGGATTTACTGACCAGTTAGCATGATCATAGTGATGCTAACACTAACAGGAAGGATCGGAGAAGGCATACAAAGCTAAGGAACAAATAAGATCAACCACGGATTGATGATACACACATTGTATTGATAAGAAGATAACCATATTATTGAAGACTAGAAAGCCCGTGGTAACAGGGACGAAGCTAGTAGTATTCTTTGAAAGAAAGTTTTAATCGCATCAAAAATATCCATCTCAACCGAAGATACAGCCGATTTAAATATAAAACACTTTAAACACAACGTAATTACCACAAAACCGATCAAAATGACGTTAAAACAATCTTTGCACGTGCATGTGTGCATTAAAACACCGTTGCTATAGAACCTTTTGGTTGTTACCTAAATTCCTATTTTTCATCTAATTTGCGGTCGTACATACATACATTCTACAATAAGAATTCTCTGAATTATAATAGAGATAACCATATTTTGAAGCACAAAATTGGCAGAATAAATATCGCTTGAAAAAGGTTTATGATTGATAATAGGAACAAGATTATTGATAATATAAAATGAAATCCAAAAAATAGCACTATTATTAATGTTGTGCTACAGTTATTACATGTTAGGTCTGCTTTGTAAAAGAGACAACATTTGAGTAAAAGCTGCAAATTTTGTATTTAAATTGCTATAGTATGCTATACGTTGTATACCTCTTGTGCACGCGAAGCGAAGCGTGCACGATCAAAACGGGTTACAGCGTGTGTAAATATTTAAAACATAAAATACAAATAAAACATAAAATACAAATAAAATTATTTGTATTTTAAATACAAATTAATTTTATCATTGTGAGAATTTTTTGCTTAATTAATAATGCATTCATAACGTTTTGTTCAATTCTTAACGCATCGCCCAGCTAGAGCTAATTAAAGTTTTATATTTGATCTTAAAATATTTTTGTTTTAAACATGCAGGCAAACATAATTTTATGCGCGGCGCAATCAAATAATGTATTGCGCTACAATTAAATATTAAGATTCATATTTTCTAATAAAATCAATGCAATATTTAGTTATGACATGATTTCAATTTAAATCAATTAAAAGTAATAAGCAAGTATTATTATAAATTAATGCATTTATTAATTTTATGGTACATGACAATGCAAATGCAATTTACATAAATTGTTAAAAATAATTTAACTAATAATGTTATAGTAAGCTGTGTTTTTGGTTTTACAATTAAGTTATATGAGGTTCTTATTTAACTAAATAATAATACAAATTTATTGATACAGGGTGGGCCAAAAGTCAGTGTGCAAACGTTGGCCTTAATAGCTCAGTCACTGAGTGCCCAATTGAAATACTTCCTTCTGGTATGACTTAGTACCACCACTGGTTCGAGGAATTTGTCAACTCGAAAAATATTCGCGTTCATTTTTTTCAAATGAAGGTTCATTTTCACATTTATTTGATAGTTTGGATAGTCGGATCAAGCTAAATGTTATTGAATTGTGTTTGGCCATTCGAATTACGTTTGTCATGAAAGAATTAGAACTGTAGCTTCTCAGATGACCGAGATATGAAGCATAACGAGTTTATTCATTACGTGTGATCAGGTGATTGGTTTACCTAATCACGTGATAAGGTGACCCCGTTAACTACCCCGTTAAACATTATGGGAATTGTTAAGGGTGCCCAATTAAGGTGTCGTGTCACGGTGTCACATTTTCATCACCCAGTCAATTTTGTTAACGAGATACACAAAATGCTTGATAACTTCGTCATTTCTAATCCGTTTTGCTTCATGTTTTCAGATCTTATGCAACATTTGATAATCTACCGTCTCTGAAAAAATTAGGCGTTCAGCATGTAATGTTCAGAGAAAACAATATAGGTGTTTTAATATTGAATGGGCGTGGTCTGAAATATTCGAATTTTCAAATTTTGACAACGGAATCCTCGAACCAGTAAGTACAGTATGCCATCTGCAAAGCAACAGCTCTCAAATATAAAACACGGCGGAGGTATAAGACCTAACGTTTGCACACTGACTTTTGGCCCACCCTGTAGTAAAAATCGAAAATTATCATTGACATTACAACGCCGCGCATGTTTTCTCCATTTTATTTTAAATCGTTTCAAGAAAATCGAGCGCTGTACCAAATTTTAATACATTTTCTCATCTTATATTTACAATTTTTATACTGCATTGGTAAAGTGTAAACTCCCACACTTAATCGTATTTTCTTTCACCATTCTTTGATTTAGCTTACTAGCAATCTTAAGGGGCGCCAAATCGTCGTTTGAATGTGGGACAATTTTTAACGGGTGATACTCGTAAAATATCCAACTAGGTTGTAAACCTACAAGACAATTTTGAAAAAAATATCTACAGTTCTAGGGGCTCTAAAGGGGAGGGGGTCAGTGGCGTAGCGTTGCCTGTTGGCGCCCCCGCCAAAAAAGCGCCACCCTGTTGGCTGCCCCCTCCCCTTTTGGTGCCCTTCACTAAAATTGAACAAATTAGGTGATTTAAGAGGATACGCCGGTAAAATTTCTAAAAAGTGTGTATCTAGAGCAAAACGCACAATTTTGCTAGTATTTTACTTAAGTTTTCGAAATTGTTCCACATTCAAACGCCGATTTGGCGCTTCCCTTACACTGCGCTCCCCCCCCCCCCTTCAGGGCCCTTCGTTACGCCCTTCGTTACGCCACTGGAGGGGGTGCCAATAGGGGGGCGCTTTTTTAGAGGGGGAGGGAGAAACATGCAACGTTACGCCACTTACGCACACTTGTCGTTTGAATGTGGGACAATTTTGAAAAAACTTAACTACGGTACTAGCAAAACTGCGCGTTTTGCTCTAGAAACACACTTTTGTAGAGATTTTATAGGCGTATCCTCTAAAATCATATAATTTGTCCAATTTTAGGGAGGGGCACCAAAAGGGGAGGGGGCGCCAAAAGGGGAGGGGGCGCCAAAAGGGGAGGGGGCGCCATCAGGGCGGCGCTTTTTCAGTGGGGGGGGGGGGTGGAACAGGCAACGTTACGCCACTGCAAGAGCAAGTGTGTAAAAATCATCTTCATCTTATATGAATCCTATCACTATTTCCTGTCCAAATGTTAATTTTTATGTATTGATAACATAAAAATGACATATTCAAAATTCGACACGCTTGGTAAATAAGGCTTATTATTAAAGTTTTTGGGGTGCAATGATGGCATATTCTAGTGTAAAGTAAGGTGTGTCAGCTACATGAGACAGAGTGTCAGTGGCGTAACGCTGCCCCGGCCACCCTCAGGGGGCGCCAAAAAGGCGCCCTTTTCTCAACGAAAAGTCGCCCCTAGGTTTTTTCTTGAATTTTATGACCTCTCACTGAAAATAACGCCTTATTGGTGTATTCCCCTGTCCAATTTAGCGCTCAGTCGGTGTGAACAAATTTTTTGGGGCACTTTTTTTGCTCCAGGGGCGCAAAAAAGCTGTAGGGGGGCGCCAAAAAAAGGTATCCGACCTTCTTTTTTTTTCTTTTTTTTTTTTAGGGACACAAAAAATTTTAGGGGGGCAGAGTTACGCCACTGAAAATTGGGTGACTTTTTCGAGCCGCCGGGGGGGGGGGCGCCAAGTTAAATCAGCCACTAACGTTACGCCACTGCAGAGTGTGCTGCAACTGATAATTGAATTTTGCAGATTTTCATAAATAGTGCCAAAAAACATTGAACTAAAGATTTCTTCTAAGAGACTTTATTTTCCATTTCAATTTTTATTGTTAACTAACAAGAAAATTCATATTAAGAAGAAAATTCATATTAATATTTTAGTCTGAATCTGACTTCAAATTTCCTTATAGTCTAACTGACATCGAATGACAGCTTTTGAAGATGGTGTGTCTTCCTTGGATTCTAGGTTTGACTTGACATTTTTAAAAAGACGTCCTAAGTAGGCTAATAATACAAAATATGGTCATACATTGATGAGGGGCATTTATTAATCTGTTTTCCTACTTCAACTCTTAATTGCATTTAAATCAAACTGAACAATATCCAATGAAATGTTTAATGAAATATGATTTCAGGATCACTTGTGCTCTCTGTGGTTGAAGGAGATGACATTTCGGACTTTCTTAAGAATAAAGCAGAACTCAAACCTCAGCGCTATGAAGGAGACATAAAACAAAACTGGGATGTTGTTATCAATCGAGAGCCTATTGCCTTCAAGCTCTCATCTAATCCTGATGATGAGGAAATCGGGGAAATGAATTCAGATCTAGGACTCCCTGTTTCACAAGATGTCGTTTTCTCAAGGAGGAGAAGTGTCGTTGATAATGTACTTTTGAGGTAAGTTACCACCTTGAGAAACAGCAAATTGGAGCATCATACTTATTAATTTATATTGTGCATTGTGTAATGTGGTGAATAGAATAGTAAAATTATGAAATATTTGATATACCTAGGTTTATTTCATACTTTATCAAGGTTACTTAATCTTAAGTTCAGAATAATTTCTTGATATTCAACTAATAAATTCTCTAGGAATGATGTGGACGAAGTGTCCGAGCTAATTGAACCAGGAGAAGTATCTCCCACATTTTTCAGAGTAGAAGGCACTGCAGGTGGACAAGCTCTCTATTTCTTCGCTGTATGGGCTCTGTTCACCATTCTTATCTCTTCATTTGCACTGGTATGGAAATAATGTTTAGAGTTCTTAAATCACAATATTATATCAACTATTCTGAGCTTCACTACAGCTATATAATGTAATACATCTTTGTTGTCTATTTAAAACACTCAAAAATGTCACATTTAATCACTTCAAAATATAATAATATTAATATGATGAATGTTTCAGGTTGGTTACACTATCGTTAGATCTGTTCGACATTCCGGCAAAAAAACAGCCAATATGCCGGAGTTAGAGGCAGAGGGTGTTGAAACAACTGTTGAAGTTGTCGAGGGAGGTGAAATCTCAGAGGAACAACCAGGTCCTTCTAATGTGGTTAGTGGAATGTTAAAATCTCATCTTTGCAATTAGAAATTAGCAATTTTTATTTATAATTTACTATTTAGTCGTCAGAAACTCAGAATGTTGTCTGTGATCTCGTTTTAATGACAATGATTATCCTGTAACAAACGTCACGTATGTACTATGCATCTAGTTAAATACACTGGCACAATGCTGAATCTGGTTAGAATGATTAAGTTAGCAGCCACAGCAATACACTGTAATACTCATTTCGTTAGAAGTCGGCCAAGCTGAGACATTCCCAAGCAGAATATGTTGTTCCGGATGTTTCCTACCATTTACACGACTGATTACTTGATTAGTTGTCTACATGTCTGCGTATTCGTTGCCATGGCAACTGCACATCTTTCCCCCGGTCAAATTATCGCAATTTCCGGGTGTTAACGCCTTTAATCTTTTAATGTAAAATAGCAAAAAAAATTTTAGATATGAATTGTAGCTGTATTTTATTTGAGTGATTCAACAATTCATAAAATTTCATACGTTATCTTGAGTGGTAGTAGTGGATGTATTTTCATGAACAAAATGGACATTTAAGTAATTAGTCCTTGGGAAATGGATCGTTTGATTTATCAAATTAACTATTAATAGTTTGAGCGGGATTTAGATCTAATATTCGATTAACGTGAATTATTGCTGTTATTAAAAGCTTTTTTGGCCATAAGCCAATCTCGAAACATTTTGAGAGTTGAGTGCAAACTGGATTATTTTCCTCAAATAGTCTGGGTCCGACAAAATATGGACGTGGCAAAAAAAATTTCAGCTGGTATTTCTTTTCATTTGAAGTGAGTGAAGAGATAACATTATTGTCTCTTATAATGTTTTGAACATGTAGATTGTAGATAATATTCTCCGGCGTCAGCTCAATATTAACAGGTCCATTTGGTCTGCTGGTAACATCACTAATTGACTAATTTCGTACTTTGGTTTTTTTGTGGTAAAACAGAATATATCACTCAACAAAGCTGCTGTTCGATGCAGCTTCGACTATTATTAGAAAATCTAGTCTGCTTAATGATATAAATAGTACTGGGCTAGTGGGCTGCACTAAATGTGTTGTCATCTAAAAATTTCTAATTAAAAATGTAAAATGTTTGACGAGGCAACCCAGTCACAGCTGATTTATTGACACCCAATTATAGCTGACACTCTCTTTAACAGACCTACCAAATTGATATGTCCGCATTAATGGTATTAAAACTAAGAGATATGTATTATATGTTTATAAGCTGAGGCGCTAACGATTGTGCAAAATGCCTGTGAATATCCCAAAGAAAGGCGCATGACTTATATGATCCCGTGTGAACGATCTGGATTCTAGAAAACTAACTCGTCTTAGATAAAGAGGAATTCCTTTCCGTGTCACGGGCACGACACGGGCACGTGATTATAAGAAAAACGACTAATCAAGAATGTTCCCATCCGGAGGCTAATGTTCCCTTTTTTGCTTGACAAATGATATTCCATAATATCCCATAATCGTAACGTGCATAATTATCGTACTTTTCCTATTTATACCAGACTTTTAAACAGATACCTTTTACAGGTGATAGAGATAGATTCCCCTTTCTCCACAGAGAGCGACAAGAGTGATGAAATCAAATCCTCTCCCGACTCTGCTGAGGACTACCAGACTGTCACCATTCTGGGGGAAACACAACTCTGAGTCATCAGCTATCGGAGCAATATGAGAAATCTGAGTATTCTGAGCAATATGAGAAATCTGAGTAATCTGAGCAATCTGAGAATTGTGAGCAATCTGAGTAATCTGAGAAATCTGAGCAATCTAAGAAATTTAAGTATCGCTCTTGTCATTCTGAGTAATCTTGAACAGAAGATCTTTACGAAGCGACAAAAAAAGAGATCGTGCCATCATAACATTTTGTCTAATATTCAAGTTATCTTTTTTGACGTAAGTGACGCTTCGACCAACTTTTTCCAACTGTAAATATTCGTTTTATCCTGTTGTTGGATAGAATATACTATGTATTATAGATAACCTATTTGAGCATTATTTTATTGAGTGTGCTGTATTCTAGTGAGTGAACTGTTTTTAAGATTGCATGATTTAATTTTTGAATGTTGTTTGATACTGCCCTGTTCAATTTACAATCAATTTTCCAATTAAAGTTTTATTTTCTATTTAAACTTACATTTTTTTATTTAATTCTATAAAATTTAACATTATTTTTGACTTTTGCTACGTTTGATACAATAATAATTGTTCCTTTAAATACCAAAAGTCGCATCCGAACGGAATGTACTAAGATGTTTGCTCGTGTTTTAATGAGTGTGTGCATGCTTTTGAATTTCATTTTCGGTGTTAATTCCATTAAATTATCAAAACCTCGTCTTATTTTGCATTACATCAGGGATCAAATATGAAATCAAATCCAGCCCATCCTTTAAAACCTCGAATTCTAAAAACCTCAAATCTCTGAAAGCAAAAACAACTAATCACTTAAAATCCAAGAAGAATCTTCATAAATCTGGAGTCGTCATGTTTTTTCAGAATTTGGAAGAGCTTTTATTATAATTTTCTGACTGCTTATTTTTAGGATGAATCCACTCTGAGGACCGAAATCTTCCATTAGAACATTCAAAACATTAAACTTGCTCACAAGCTTACAGAAGCAAAAGAAAAGGTCCGAGTCTTCAGCTAATAATCTGCCCGAATATCTCTATTAATCGGGGATGCGGATATGGGGTGTTAAAGTTCAGATAAGACTTATCAACAAGAGATACTTCGCTTCATCTGGTACTTATTTATTTATTGAACTCGTTTTCGTTATATTGTTAGCACTCGCAAGGATGATGATGTGATTGTGTCCCACTTTCTTGTCCCTCTAACACGCTGCCCACAGGCGGAGGCTCGCTACGGATAGGAAATGTAAGTAAAACACTACATAACTCTGACAAACAGTACTTGGTTCCCAGCTCTGGCAGCGACCTTACTTCTTTACCTCAATCCTTACTGGCTCATGTCAAGTGGATGCTGCAAAAGGTAACATTCTCAGACATCATTTACTTACAAATCAGCTTATGAATTTTCCGGTTTTCCCGCTTCATATTGTTAGTTGAAGGATGATGTAACAGATCCTATTATAACGTGTGTCTAACTGATTCCTGTTCAGGACATAGCCCAGCAAGATGTGTTCCTAATTGGGCATCCCGGACCTACACGGAGAAGACTCGCGTCTCTTTACTGTGTTTGTAACCATTTATTATACATACTAATACTGTGCATCCGTATCATTAAACACACATTTATGGCAAGTATAAACATAAGTTTATAAACTTTATTACGCCAAATTTTAAATCTTTCGCGCAATTCACCTTTTGTCAGTATACTACACGGATTAAACTTCTTGAGAAACGTACACATGCTCCTACTTCAGGAGCTGGTGAACAGAGAGACGGAGTATCTGGTGCTGTCACGTGATACTACTGAGGGGGACATAAAGCAACGCAGGGAGATCAGTGCAGGTAATTAGCTACTAATTAATTAAGTAATTATCTACTAACAGTAACACAACTACCTTTTTATCCCGGTTACCGTTAACTATTTTCTGTCAGTTAAATTCACCACAATATACATGTATATGTATGGTTTGATTACTGATGTTGAGTGAATGTAGTAGTTACCCCACCACTATCCTCACTTGATATCTCTTTTACAACCCTACTATTACTAATCTCACGATACATCTCTCTCTCCAGGATCCTCTCAGTACTTGCCCGGACCTGCTGTACGAGCAGCTACTGAGGGTAGAGCTCTCATAATAGAGGGGATAGAACGAGCCGAGCAGAACCTTCTTCCTATCCTTAACAACCTCCTAGAAAATAGGTGCCATTTTCGCCGAAATTGTGTTATATATAAAAATGATATAAGCATGGTACCTAAACTAACCAATACATCGTTTACTTGTCCAGGATAATAACTGTAACCTGGAAAATTGTCCCTTAACCAAAGCTTTCATTGGGAATAGAACTTTGAACCTCAATCGTGTCTTGCCATCCTCAGTGACCATGTAAGATGGTCATTCAAGAAAAAGTCTGTCAAAACAGTGAAATTTGGGTCGTGGGACGTGGAAGGCTGAAATTTGAATATGTTCTACCGGTACGGTAGGTCATATTCAAAAATTTCATTGCATCAAAGTTTACTCTGGATATATCTATATATAATACTGCTTCCAGTACCTTGATGGCGACTTGTCTCACTCTCACCGACCTCACTGATTGGTCACTGGTAAAGATTTCAGTAAAAACCACGAAATTTTGGTCAAGGGGACGGCATAAAAGCTCTTCTTCAATAATCTTCGAAAATATTTTCTTCTTTTTTGACGATTTTCCCTTTATCAAAGCTTTCTTTTGTAACTTTCAGAACCCCATTGTGGTCTTGTACCGTCCACAGTGAACTCTGTAATTGGTTATTGAAGAAAAATGAGTCAAAACAGTGAAATTTGGGTCAGGGAAAGCTGAAATCTGAAAATGTCCTACCGGTTACCAGTAGGACATTTTCAAAATTTCCCTTTCATAAACGTTTTCTCTAGATATTTAGCTACCAGTACCTCGATTACATAGCCTTTATTGCTAATTGATGTACCAACTATAATTCAGAGAGATGCACCTGGAGGATGGCAGGTTCCTGGTGGCACATCAGAGATACGACACACTTCTTAACCCTTCTTCTGACCTTGTCAGAGTTCATCCTGACTTCTGGGTCGTTGCTTTGGGTAAGAATTATTACACTGAGCTGTATGGTCATCAAACAAAATATCTTTCTTCTCAATCGTGACTTTTGTTGTGATTTCCCCCACTTCATACCTGGTAACCGGAGGTATGGAATGTGTCCACCTTCTTCCATTACAACCAGCTATTCTCAGGTGTACCAGTCCCACCCTACAGAGGGTACCCTCTAGACCCTCCCCTCAGATCTAGATTCCAGGCTAGGATTGTTGAGGACTTGCTGTACAACGAACACAAGCAGCATCTCCTTCTGGTAGTTAATTACCACTTTCATTTAAAAGATCTTAGCTATATAATAGGACTTTATGTTCATTTAGAATTCACTCGATAAATTTCATATTAGCAGAAATCGTTTATAAACTTTTTAAACCCTCCTCTCTTTCCCAGAATGCAGCTGGTTCTGACGAAAAGAGTGTACACAGTTTATTATCCTTTGCCTCATTTTTCAAAGAATCAGAAGCTAAAACCTGGCCCTATCTCAATAGTTCTGCAATTGATAACCTCCAGAAGATCGTGTCTAAAGTTCCTACTGTAGACTCCGCCAAACTGTAAGAGTTTTTAATAAGTGTTAAATAGGTTAATTGTATTCCTACATACTTTTTAACAGTTATTCTAAGATCAATCTAAAATTCTAAAGTTTTCAAAACGGTTTTTTACCGATGACTTTATCTGTTAATTTAACACGACAAAACTTTGCCTAATTCTGTGCTTATTCACTTGACCTGTTCCCAGAGTGAACACAGTATACCCGTACAAGCTGCTGCTACAACCAGACACCCGGTCCCAGTTTGAGGTGATGTTATCAGATCTGGGGATCACGTCACCCCGGACCGTGCTAGGTGATCCCGTCTGCCAGGTCCGGGATATCACTGATGGTATTGCTACTGTAAAGTGTGGCAGACACCAGTTCACCGTCCCTGCAGGTACATTTATATTAATATGTTCTTTAGTTAGTAGTTTTAAAAGGTTTTTTGCCGATGTAAGTTACTTTATCAGCTTAAGGGTGTATACGATGCAGATGAACTTTTGTTTTGGTTTACGTTGGATGAGAATTCTGCTGACTTATTATAAACAAGAATCGACAGTTTCGAATTATATATAGGCAGTCTATTGGAGTATATAACACTATCTCACTTTAAATACTAAACCCAATTCGGACAGGTAGAAATACTAGCGGTCCCCCGAGACTGTCCCCTTATATCCCTACTCCGTCACAAGAGACCCTTCTTTCTGACATGATACTCTCCCACTCCGTCTCTGACATCTGCCTTGTCGGTCCTCCTGTAAGTATTCTTGTCGGTCCTCCTGTAAGTATTCTTGTCGTTTCTCCTGTAAGTATTCTTGATCTGTACATCCGGATTTGAGTTGAATGCAGAGACCAGAGCCCTCGTCCTGTATTTGATAACATTTTCTCAGTCGACAATTTACGCAGAAAAAATCCATTGATTGGGTAATCTCATCTCTTCATCGCAGGGATGTGGAAAGTCGGTGGTTATAAATGAGTTTGCCAGGCGACTGGGATACGAAACAGACTCGATAGTTTTGTACAATGATATGACGTCACGTGACTTACTTCAACAGAGACACACGGACTCAAGTTAGTTTATTTAATATTTAAATTTTTTGGAAATATTAATTATTTGGGGTTTCTAGGAAAATTCCTAACTCTATCTTTGCCACATTGGTAACATCTGAGCGTCGTTGCATTTTTATGGTTATATAGTAATAATTGTGCGAATTGGTAGGACAATTAATTTGTATTTTTGTTCCTTACTTACGGCTGACGTAAACATAGATTGTTAAATCTAATTATATGTTTGCACGTCTAGTTAAAGTTATAAGTGTTTGTAGTCACTTGGTTACTATAATAATCGTTGTCAATTATGCTGTTCATAAGTCCCGCAACTATCATGAAAGCATGAAGCATGGTTTTAGCTGCGGTACACCTTGTTTGAAGTTAGGATAATTCGTCATTAAACCAGCTAATAGTTGCTTTGAATTTACAATAAAGCCCCGTACAATATTGTTAGATAACATGACAAGATGTTTTTCTATTCTCAGAGCTTTTGGCAAAGGAGTAATCAGCCGCATAATTGATGTAACATGTCGCATTTATACGACATTATATACAGAACATTGTTCTGTCAACTGCCCGCAGTTATTTTAAATATAAATGATAATGGGACCCGGTGATGAGTGTCTCGACTTTATGTCAGAACCCGGCGTCCATATAACGAAAAGAATAATAATGGGAATTAACAAATCTTGGCTAGTCTCAGCTGGTTGTCACATCTTGTGTTATTTCAGGAGGTAACACAGTTTGGGAGCACGCCCCCCTGGTACGAGCAGCTCTTTCTGGTGAGCTGTTTGTCCTGGACTCCGCTCACAAGCTTCACCATACCACCCTCTCTACTTTAGCCAGGTATTTTACTGATTATTAAATCTACAATAATATTCGATTGTTCCACTCAAGATGACTTTTAGATATACCTTCAATCTCATCTGTGATCTTGGTTATATTCACTAAAACTTCAACCTGTACCATTTTTATATTTTCTAAAAGCTGACCCTGGCAGTTTATGTCAAGACCGAGTCCTAACCTTACCAGACGGAACTAGACTGCTACCCCACACCACACACCACAACATGTGCTCCAAGTTAAATATATCTGCTGAGGAGTTGAGCAGACGGGGAGTGCTCCAGATACATCCTTCCTTCAGGATCATCGCTAGTTAGTGGCCACTCTTCTTCTTTACGTGTCCTTCAAGTGTTCATTACCAAGATCAGCCGTCTGTAATTGTTTTGAACCGCTCTCATCTGTTCAAATATGTTCTGATTTCCCGACTAAATTGTTGTGTGAAGCTGTTATCATTGCTGTGTGAAGCTGTTATAATACTGGTTCTGTAACTCACGACATTCCCTCAGCTGGAGAAGAGAAAGGAGAGTGGATTACCCCGGAGGTTCTGGGATTGTGGCACTATCATCACCACACTTCACTAGACCTGGATCAGCAGCTCAACCTCATCTCACAGATCGTTAGTTTAAACTGGGTTTCTTTGTTAGCTTCTCATTCCGACTGCAAGAATGTATAGTGAATAAATCGCTATCGCTAGGTGTAACGATCAAATGTCAATGTATGTCTTAAATGTGTGTTTTCTAATTTTGTCATAATTTACCGCTTAACAGTGTCCCGAAACATCAAAAGTGCACATAAAACGGATCCAAACAATGAGTGAAACTCTGCGGACACATACCGATCCAGTCTTGACTGGTATTGGAAATATGTTGACTATGAGGAGACTGATTGCTATTTGTAGGGCAGTAGCAAACGGTGCTGATCTGGGAAACTCAGTCCACACTTCTCTGCTAACCAGGTCAGATTGATATTTTATCAGTTAATGATATGCATGTACCCTAATGCATTTCATAACATATAATGGCACATCTATGACAAGGTGTAATCTAACTTTGTTGTTTCAAATAGCAAGAATACCGAAGTAGAAGTAAAAGTTTCGCCCCCATTATACTGTAGCAACTAAAACCACCAGGTTCATGCCCGCTCTAACTCGTCAAACACTGACACAAACTCTGAACAACATCGGAATACTGGAGACTACCAAGGTTGATGACGTCACGATCACATCAGATAATGATATCCTCACTATTGGATCTGTTTCTGTTCCCAAGCTGAAGGGTGATAAGGAACTTATACCTAACATCTTGTTCTACGAAAACAAAAACGTAAGTTTGAGTGGTTTAGTCATTTCAAAGTTTCAAACATTGTTAAAACCAGGAACCAGCTATTTCTTGAAGGGTCGTGTTTTTAAATTTCCTGTTATTATGGGATACATAGTGATGTCGCCCATCGCTTATCAGTAATTAATTATCAGGAATCAAATTATAGTCAGTTATTAATTATTATCATACCTTCTCACTACTTCAGCAACTCTACCTGCTGGAGGATCTATTACGGAGTTTTGGGGATGGATCCCACATTCTGTTGGTGGGGAACCAGGGAGTTGGGAAGAACAAACTGATAGACAGACTGTTGGAACTGTTGGAAGGGAGTAGGGAGTATTTACAGTTACACAGGGATAGTACAGTACAGGCTATCACAGTTCAGGTAATTTCATAAATTAGGAAATGTGCTAGTGATTATTTAACAATTGTTATGCTTTGGCGTTAGGAACTCTATTTAATTACTATTTACTTATACTATCTCACCGCAACAACAATTTTAGCCAACAATAACTGGAGGAAGAGTAGAATACGCGGACTCAGCGCTAGTGCGCGCAGTGCGAAATGGTAGAGTGCTGGTAGTAGACGAAGCTGATAAAGCACCGACCAATGTTACCTCCGTTCTCAGGACTCTACTGGACACGGGGTCTATGTGGCTATCTGGTGAGGAGGCGATGCTCTTCATCGTGATTTAGTTGTTGGTATTAATAGTTATGTATTTGTTAACTAAATGTGTTCTGATTAACTTTAATAATACTAATAATTGCAGATGGTAGGAAAATAGTTCCACCTGGAACACCAACGGAAGAGCTGACTGATAAGGACATTGTTTGTCACCCTGACTTCCGGGCTATATTCCTTGCTAACAGACCTGGCTTTCCCTTCCTGGGCAACGATTTTTATGCTGTTATGGGAGACCTGCTTAGCTGCCATGCTATTGATAACCCTGATCCTCAATCCGAACTGGTAACATGATTGGAATTTGATATTTTTCTTTATCATTAATTTTATTATAACTGCTTAAAATAACGTATCGTAAATAAACAAAAATGAACGCACACAGAACAGTTAAATTACGATCCATCTTATCTTAATAATTAATTAATTAAATTTGTAAAGTTCGTAGATTCCTCTACAGGGTCATCGAATAGTTCGACCGCCCTTGTTTTACAGTACACTACATTGTAGATGTTCTGAAGGAGTATCCTAAGATTCTTGATCTTTTGGCACAGGCAGCCCTCCTCATTTAACCGTCAATCAAGTTTCCTATCTTGTAGAAAATAAAAGAGAACATGTTGTTATCTCACCAAACCTCCGTACAGGAACTGTTAAAACAGTACGGACCTGATGTATCAGAGGAAATACTCCTGAAACTCATTGGGTCGTTCAGTGAGCTGAGAGCCATGTCAGATGCCGGCACATTCCTTTATCCCTACTCTACCAGGGAGCTGGTCAACATTGTCAAACATATGCAGGTCAGAGGTTTTTAGATGAAGTTTAGAGAAGAAATGAGGATTGAAATATAATTCCTTAAATTGTTACGATAATTCTTAGAATAACATACACTTCCATTCCTTTCAGCATTTATTTTGAAAATATTTTTCAGGCGTACCCAGAAGATGGCATTACAACAGCGCTGAGCAACGTACTAGACTTCGAGCAGCAACAGGGCGACATTTGGAACATGCTGGTTTCTATCCTGCACAAACATGGCATCCCATTCGGGGCTAGACCTATATCCAATATTTCACCACGGTGAGGGACTTTAGAAAGCGTTAGACCGAATTTGGACCCGCTTATTAAATCATATTATCAGTGCAGTAGATAAGAATTTTTTATCAACGTCAAGGGGAAGTGCTTGTTCTGATGGTAGTTTATTTTCTTGTATTGCTAGTTTTGGTTAATTTCGGGTTGGTAGTACACAGTTTTCCATGTTTCTTATTGTCATGTCACGTGCTGGTTGATATGTCTGCCGCGCGTCGCGCCGCGCAATATTTTTCAATTGCACCACGTACGTATTTCGTCAGTCCAAACTGATCCCATAATTGTTGTCAGTAAATTGATTTTACAATGTATTTACACTTCGGATCTTTGGCTTTATATTTTACTTCAAACAAAAAATGATGTTTTAATGCCTTTGGTAAATAGTAAAGTAAATGCATCGTGAAAAATGAACCATGTGTAATGATGTAATGTACCCAAATAAGAAACATAACTAATTAAGTCTTTAAATCCTACTTTTTTCTGCAGGTACCCTCTGAAACGACCTTTTATGGTCGGAACGTTATTACCACAGACAGATGAAACTTCTGTGGGTAAAATATCGAAGGGCTCGTTCAGGGAAAGGGTAAGTTGATACTTATAATTGATTAGAGTAGTGTAGGGAGAGTTATAAAATTAACCAAATTCACCTAAGTAATTTATGGACCGCCCCAAATTTGTGATCAGCTTGCTTTGAATTCAGAGATCAATCGACACTTTGAAATGTCTTTGAAGAATAAAAATAACGTGTATTTTGATTTCAGGGTCCTTGGTTTCTGCCTCACTATAACGCTGATGCACCAGTATCCCTTGAGCGGGCCAAGTCTTTCAGTGAATGTGTAAACACCCGATCTTTACCAAGACCAAAAGTTCAAACTAAATACACTCACCTTTTGGCTGGTTAGTTTTTGTAAGAGTTCGATTTGTTCATGATTATAACGGGGGAAAAAGTTACTAATTCGGCATGAATGATCCATATTATGTGTCATTATCTCAGGTGGAGAGGCTGGGATACTGCATGCTATCAGCACAAGTCCCGATGCTATTTACACGATTCAGAGCAATTCGGAAGAAGTCACGTGTTTGGACATTGGGCCAGCCTTAGGGTACAAACCAAATCTTACTGTTGCAGCCTGGGACCAATTTCTCATTGCTTCCGATACCTCGGTAAGGATTAAGGAAGCCTGTCGTGCAGGTGTACAGATCAGTTATTATAAATTATGTTTTGATTTCGGCTGTTCAGAGCTTATTTTACCACGTGGCCGAATATTTGCACCTATAAATTTACAGTCAGAGACGTTGATGAAATTTGATACCAAAAAGCGGACAGTACTGCGACTCGACCTGAACCGCATGTCGTACTTCAAACAGAAGAAAACGGGAGGTTTTCAGGTTACACCCGGCAGGGGACAATTCTGCTGGATCTTTTCGGAAAATCTCCTGATCCGATACAACATCCCTGAGAATAAGGTTTCACGCCACGTTGAACTGTAAACCATGAGTGAAGTTATTAACATCTTATCAATATTAGTATATCAAATTTGCTTAGTTCGTAACTCATTACCTACATATAATATGATTTCTTCAAGGTATATTATCATTGTTCATCCTTTCAATTGCCAGACTAAAGAGTGTGAACTCCCGTTTGAGATAAGTTCCGTGCGACAAAGTCACCTGAATACGGATAATGACGAGCTAATGGTGCAATCAAGAGAGGGAGTCTGGCACTTTGTTAAATTCTCTGATAAAAACTTTACCTGCTATCCTTTAACCAGGGAAACGGAGGTGGAAGGAAACTGGGTACTAGATCAGGCTGCAGGTGATATTACAGTGATATTCTTGAGTTCAATTTCATTGCTATCAAAATGTTATTGTTAATCCAGACACGTTTTTAGCCGCAATCCTAAGCAAGTTACCCCACAGGCGTAAAGACAGATATACCATACAGCAGCGATATCATTCAAAGTCCAGAGGGAGTCCTGATGGCTGAGAATTGTTTTGGTTCGTTGGGCAACAACAGTGATGTCAAAATTAGAAAGCTTGATACAGGGGTAAGGTTCTTTGGCTAATGGAGCTAATTTTTCAGTCGAAGATAAATCTTATTTTGAATAAAAGTATTTATAAATTACTCGATTCAGTGAAACAACTATTCTATTGACAATTACACTGAAATATAAATTTACTGATATAATTTCTCAGATTGACGAATCAGGTGTCGGGTTGTTGAACCGAGGAGTCCTGCTAATTCCCGTTAAAAATATACCTAAAGAATTCAAAAAGGAGGACCAGAAAGAGAAGGACCAGAAAGAGGATACAACAAATGGGTTCCTAGCTGTAGTGGATACAGTTAGATATACCGTATCTTTCGTTCCTTTACAAAAACCTTTCAGTAATACTAGGTGAATTTCTTTTTCAAAATCTCTAGAAGTTTTGATGATACATATTAGTTTCTTCATGCCTGAAATATCAATATTGAATGCTGTACTACAGTGTACAGCGGTGTGTACAGTGTACAGCGGTGTGTACAGTGTGTACAGTGTGTACAGCGTACAGCGTGTGTACAGTGTACAGCGGTGTGTACAGTGTACAGCGGTGTGTACAGTGTACAGCGGTGTGTACAGTGTACAGCGGTGTGTACAATGTACAGCGGTGTGTACAGTGTACAGCGGTGTGTACAGTGTGTACAGCGGTGTGTACAACAGTGTATATACAATATTAACTAAACTATTACTTATTGGTAACCTAAGTTTGACATATTATCCTAGATACGACAGTCCCCTGGATATGATGTCAGCACTAAATGGACTAGATGATATCCACACACTCACCACTGGAGGAACTCTTCAGGTAACTTACTTACTCTCATATTACTGACTTCAATCCGATTAGCATTCGTTAATCACACAATGAAATGCCAGGTTTGGGGGGGGGGGGGGGGGGGGGGAGCCAAGTAGATTTTTGTAGACATTTGGATAATGTCATCCACTTTTTTCGTGAATTATCCATTACAATAATCTACAAATATCTACATTTATCTACAAAAAATGTATATTTCAAATATGTGCCCAGAAATTGTACTGAATTTTTGGAGATAAATGTATAAATTTGTAGAATTTGTAGAATTTTCGTGAATTATCCATTGACAATAATCTACAAATATCTACATTTATCTAAAAAAAATGTTATCTCAAATATGTGCCCAGAAATTCTACTGAATTTTTTGAGATAAATGTATAAATTTGTATAATGTCATCCACTTTTTTCGTGGATTATCCATCCTACATTAATCTACAAATATCTACAAATATCTACTTGGCTCCCCCCCAGGTTTATTTTCAAAATTAAAAAGTAGGGCAAAAAAAACTATGCAATCCAGGGGTGGGAGTTGACGGATGAAAGATTAGCTGTATCGTACGATACCTGGCGGAGCATGGTGGGAGACCCACCCACTCAACTCAACATAGACCGGGACAGTGGGGAGGATGTGACGGACCCCAAACACGGCAAGATAGACCCGGATAACGCCCCGCACGTGGGTGGCAACACGTGGGCAGGTGGTACTGGGGGTAGGGACACTGCCGGTGAGATATAATACTGTTTTACTGGCTTTGATGGTTATATTTCAGTAAATTGTAGTTAATCATTTTAATAGCTTGACTGTGATTCAATATTCGCTGATTATTGTTCATCGATTTTTTTCAAATTGGTTGGTCCGCAAACTTTGGGTTTTACACTTATTTTGTTGTCAAGTCCAGCTCTTATGAATCCCCTCATGATAGTTACCATATTACTCAGGTCTAGGAGGTAAAGGAGGACCATATAGGCTAGATGCCGGGCACAACGTCCATCAGCTCTCTGACGAGGAGAAGAACTCAGTTCCTGATGAGGTTTCTTTTATCTTATCAATATGAAACTTTTGTGAGATTAAAATTGTTTTTTGTTGAAAGAATACAAAGGTCGCTGTTACAAATTTGCCACAATAAGATCATTCACACAAAATTACTCAAAGACATGCATTATTATTCTACACTGTTTACTGTTTACTGGTTTAGTTCTTAGAAAAAATATCAGATATCTAAACGAAGGTTTGTTTAGGTGCAAAAAGCTGCTCGGGAAATGGGTCAACGAGCTTTTAAGAAACGATTAGAGGAGATTAGAATGTCGGAATACGACGCAGAACGTTACAACTCTTTCGTTAAAAGCGTCAACCAGCAGATAACATCACTTAAACAGGTAAAATACCAGAGAATCTCGTTAATTTCAAATCTCCATCAGATTAGTTATCAATAAGAAAAAGAGTACTGTCGAATAAGCAAACAATAAAAGTATAAAAATAGTCTCCCAGACGTCAAATTTTACTTATCCTGTCCCTCTTTTTGACTCCAGAATATAGTTTTTACATTGATGTTGTTCCTGATTATCAATATGAGGGGAGTGAATACGCTGTTCAACAGAGATGGTAACCAGAAAAGGGAGCTTTTCCATAATTTTGGGGTCGCCTTGAAAGGCAATTCCTCCTCTTCCCTGTACATGAAGAGCCCTTACCTTAATAGCGATGGTCAAGAGAAACCAAGTTGTGAAAAGTAGCAGTGTGTTGGCAGTGAGCCATTGGACCGTCACTGCACTTCTCTTTATCTTATCTGAGTTCTTAACCAGACTCTCCTTTATGTGGTTCCTGATGTGGGACACTGTAATGACTGATGACACTGTAATTCCGATGACTGCCAGACCGCTGTCAGTTCCCATACTCACTAATTCAGCGTACCAGTAAACTTTGTCGTTCTGTCGCCGTGGGTGCCAGGCTATCTGCGCTGCCGGATACCACACTAGATGTGGACCAGCACACAATATAATAGTTGATACGAGCAGATAGACAGATACCAATGCCAGGGGCACGATTACAGCAAGTTTTGAGAGTTTCGCAGTTGGGTTTTTGAGGATTTTCACTCGGTGGATGCTGAGAAAAAGATGGCAATAGAGAGAGGCCCTGAAGAACAGCACGAACATTCCACTGGATATCTTGCACATGGTTGAAGGGTTCTCTGAAATATAAGTTTCTTGGTCAGATTTATCTACGGATAACGATAAAAGTAGAAATGACTAAATCTAACTGGTATTTATAGCTGTTTAATGTTTATTTATCTGTCTAGGCTACACCTGTAGTACCCCGAACTTGCTAGTCGGGATAAAGCTATTTCTATGTAGTTCTATTACATGTTTAAGTAGATACCTTTTTCCAGGAGATCTGGAGACAATAAAACGAGTATGTTGTATATTTTACTGGCTGATTTGAGGATATCACTTGCTGCTATCAAGAGTATCAGTAGAGGAGCGATCTTCCCTCGAACCGACCAATGTCTTAGTATGACCTGATAGCGATTAGTATATAAGTCGTATTTGTACCTATAATTATAACATTATATTAGTTGTTTTATCATTACTATAAAGGCCTCCTAAGTATTACCTTAGGGCCAATAAATTTGGTTCACAATAAATTTGGTTACCATAATTTTGGTTACCATAATTTTAGTCACAAATTTCGCAAATTTTTAGTCTACAACAATTTTAGTCACATTTTTCGACTTTTCTAGACCATTTTCCATTCCCATTTACCTTAAGAACGACAAATTTAGTCTACCCCGTCTGAGCATTACAGATTAAGCTGCAATGCATTACTCAGGAATTTCAATAACATCAGATCCAGAGTTTGTGACTCTGTATCAGTACTACGTTCTTCAGTACACTGTTCAGTTTCTTTTTCACCCTTTTTCGACTTTACCATTTCTGTCGGAACGACGTAGTTTATGTCGATATGATCCTTCAGCCGTTTCAACAGAGCATGCATCGGGATGGATCGATTAAAAATGTAATGTCTAAGAGGAGCTCTAACCCTTTAAGTGCAATAGGACTTTGGTACGGTTTTGTGCAGTAGGAACGGTGATGTCATATATTAATTATAAACAATGTTAGCTTAATAATATTCATGTCATATTTGCTCTACTAACTTACTAAAATTTTGGTCTGCTTTAATATTAGTCGCCAAAAAAACAACAATTTTAGTCAAAAGTTTGACTAAATTTATGGTAGACTAAATTTGTCGTTCTTAAGGTACTCCACTCTGGACCTTATCGAGTTATCAGGGGTTTGTAGAGCTGGAGCATAACAGGTTTTGTCCTGTCTTTGAATACTCCAAGAACCCAAGATGCCATCTGACGTGCCTTACTATAATAGTATAATACTAATAGTCATAGATTCTCGAGTTTCAATTGTTTCAACATACAATGTCCTCCCTTGATAATATATACTCATTATAACCAGTATATTATTATTATTTTAGTGATTAGCCCATTAGGCTTATTAGCATAATAATCAGACGATTCTACTTTATTTTAGCAGGAATTAGTCACACTGCATATCGCCATGTATATCGACACCCCTTTATCGTCAATCGATATACAGTGCGTGACGATATACAGTGTAGGTAGCGCACATGTGATTCTTGTTATTATGCACCACATGAGCCATATAAGTCAGTGTTGTGACTTTGCTCCTGGATCGGATCCTCCATACCGAAATGTTCGCATACAACAGATGGAATCAACACAGCCCCTCTTCTTTCACGATCCAGAAACATAGCATAGGGATGGCACCACGGATTCAACAGCTTTCCTGTTCCAATCCAACAATCTGGAAGTTCCAGAACTGTCCCAAGATTTAGCACTAAATTAGCGGTAAATTTTGTAATGAATTATTGTGTATCTACTTGTCGTAGGAATTATTGAACAGCGTTATCGTACAACTGTCTCAATTCTTGGAAATAAGGATCATACGTCTGCTTAACTTATGTATCGACGCACTTATAAACAGTTGACTCAAAGGTACCGTGCAGTTATAAATTCATATATAATATAAAATTGACATGTTATTACTATTAGCCACTTGTGAGTGCACCGGGACACAATAATTTTGTGACCCTCCTCCATTACTCATTATATAATATCAATTTCCTTGTTTTAAATCTGACTAATTTGTAATTTTATTTAAGGTTGAGTAAATTATGGATACAGAAACTAAAGATAACCGACTGGATCCATACAGCGTACCAGATTACGGTAGATATTGTCTGATAACATGGTGTTTGGTGACGGGTATCTTCTCCCTCTTTGGTAACCTCGCTCTCCTCCTCTCATCGCTAGTCCTCAAACTAGACAAAGTCTCAGTTGTCCTGATACAGAACCTAGCTGTTGCCGGCGTTGGTTTCACGGTCTTCATCATCCTGCCTACAGTAGGATCTACAGTGGAACAGGAGTGGATCTACGGGAGGGAGCTATGTGTGGTGACTACATACGCTCTGTATATCCTGGGCTTCATGAGTACCTACCTAATAGCCAGTCTCAACATCAGTGAGCTGACAGTTTTGATATTTCCACTACGAGCCAGACTGAGAACGAAAAATTGCGGCGCTGTCATATCGGCCACATTGTGGGTTATCGTCCTCATCTTGATCGTAACTAGTAATGTGGTAGCCTCACGAGACATCACGTTCAGCCCGCTGGTCTTCGCGTGCACTTTGGACTACAGGTTCATCCCCCCGAACCTGCTCGAGCAAGCCACCCTCTACAGCAACCTCTTAGTACCACTTGGTGTGATCCTAGCAACAGCGATCTGGCTAATGCTGCTCATAAGAAGTGTTCGGAAACTGACCAGACATAGCGTGTTGGCTCTTCTAGCTGTCTCCATCGCTTTTTCTTTTATTTTTCTTTTTTTTTTTCTTTTTTTTTTAGTGATCGGCTACAAGATTTATCTGCAACTTTATAAATGACGTGTGCAAGCCGGAAATCAGACTCATATTTACGTGATATAACATTTACTACGCTATTGTTTTCAAACAGCATCATTTTCCGCACAGGAAAGAACCGATGACGGTGAACAACCTCAGACTCTATACAGTAGCTGCTGTAGCAACTTTTATATCACCCTTCTCAAATCCTATCATATTCTACTTCAACATCAAGAGTTTCAAGACTTATGTTGATAACAAAGTGTTGTGGGTGATGGGCAAGCAGATAGAGATGAGGGACCAGGATGTTTCTGGTAGATATGCGAGTAGAAATTTTACTCGCATATCTACTGTAAGCATAAGGAGCACCAGAGACTCAGTAGTTCTTAATCCTATTAATGTAGCCGCACTTCAGAAGAATTCCACCGTCGTGGTTAATGATGCAAGGATTATCTGAACATTTCAAGAGTATCATAATTAATATTAATTGCCATGATTTTTTAACAAGGACGTGAACTTATTAATGAAATTGAGTTTGAATTTAGAAAACCGTTACCTTTACTTATGAATATGATAGATAATGTTATTGACAAGAAAAAAAGTAGCTAATTGGAATAATATATACCTTATCGGACCTTATTTGGACGGACATTACTTAAACGGACATAATTATGAACGGACATTAATATGAACGCTAGAAGGCAATCAAAACCATCAAAAATCCGAATTTTTTTCATCTTTTTTTTTACGTTTTTTTTATTTTAGCAAATGATTTTCAAATCCATTTTTCATACAGTGAGCAAGAAAATCAGTCTTTAATCAGTAAAAATGTTAAAATATGTGTACATGATCATTATCTAATACAATCTTACTATATATAAAGCGAGACGATATATATATATATATATATATATATTATATTTATCTGTGCCATTTTACTGACACCACGGCATCAACTTTAACGCGAATTTCTGCAAAAACCGTCAAAGATATACAACTGAAACTTTTTTGACTGGGTCAAATGCTTTAATGGCCTCCAAATCAGCATGAAAAAATAAAAATTGGCCAAGAAATAGGAGTTTTAGAGCCCAAAATTTGGTACCACAAGTGGTGTCAAAAACGCGAATTAAATCTTACTATATATAAAGCGAGACGATATATATATGTGTATATATCCGTGCCATTTTACTGACACCACGGCATCAACTTTAACGCGACTTTCCGCAAAAACCGTAAAACATATACAACTGAAACTTTTTTGACTGGGTCAAATGCTTTAATGGCCTTCAAATCAGCATGAAAAAATAAAAAATTGGCCAAGGAATAATAATTTTAGTGCCCAAAATTTGGACTCTCAAGTGGTGTCAAAAACGCGAATTAAATAGATAATAATTATTTTAGTCTCTCGAGTCTTGACACCACTTTAGGGTTAAACGGGTTCCTGCTAGTAGGT